CCAGTCGTTGATTAAAGCCCTAACATTTCATCTCTGTGTATCAAAGCTACATAATTAGATTTCTTTCCAATAAAATAACTCCATCTTGCCTTAAAGTGGCTTGCACATCTATAGTGTCCCTATATCTATTTCCACTCACCACCGGCTGCACTCCACTCCAATCAAACACTGCAAAAGTTCTCCCGGCTACACAATGGCAAGACGTAATATTGGAATAATTCAGCCATACATTTTCAAACCAGAAGAAGAATGACATAGAATGTTCCGGCCTATAAGTCGACAGGATTTGATTTGTCATTGCGTTTTAATACACCCTTGATGCTCTGCAAGTGAGTTTCTGATTTCTCTAAAGGTAGTTCAGGTCATCAGGAAATAAAATAAGTTTTTCACATTTTTTCTCGTAATGTTAAAAAAAAAAAAAAGAAGACACCAGCGTTGCCCACTTATTTATCAGACCCCAACATCTTCATCCCTACATCACCTTGTTTTGTTATATTAGGTTTATATACCAATGGGATTGAATGGGGGAGTATGTGTGTGCTGTATGTTGTGTATGTGCCGTGAGGATAGGAATGGATGGCTATACTGTACATATGTTGCATCATATCATCTTATTTGTATTCACTATTGTGTCTACCTGCCCTGGGACTGCAGATGGATACGAGCTTCTCGGCGTCTTCTCTCCTACGAGATCCATGTCTTCTCGCATGTTCTCTGACAAATAAATGAAAAGTATAAAGCACGAATGAAATGTCAAGAGAAAACTTCAATCCTTCATCCTCTTTTTGGTGTTAGAAATAGGCTGAGGACCAACAATTTGACTACTTTAGTAACATACAGTTAGAACATTAAAACTAGGGATGCACGATATATTGGCGACATCGATATCAGCCGATATTAGTGGTTTTTCCGATATATCGTATCAGTCCGATGAACAAATTTAACCCATATAACAAAAAAAAAACGATGATTGTCTAACATTAGCGCCTTCGCCTCTACATTTGATATTGCTGCTATTTCATGGAGGTCTTTACCTAAATGGTCCTGACTTGAACATTAAATATGTTTCAATATGTTTTACTTTTGTTATGTAATGAAGAAGACAATGGGGTCTAATTTGGTATGGGCTCCTTTAAAATAGTTTTCACGTTCTCACAGTACTTATCTATACTCGTTTTTCGGTGTGAACAAAAATTGAATATCGACATTGGTAATATCAGTTATCGGCAATATCAGAAATCTTAACATTGTACATCTGTATTGGCTAGAAATTTTAATATCGTGCATCACTAATTAAAACCACAGGTGAAGTGAATGACATTGATCACAAAGCAATGTTCTGCTGGGAAACCTTGGGCCTTGGCATTTATGTGGATGTTTTTTTGGACAACCCAGGTAAAAACTGGTGCACATCAAGCACACTTCCAACAATATTCCCCGACAACAGCAAGAATGAGCCCAAGCAGGAACATGACAAAGATCTCAATCTGATCGAGCATCCATGAGATCCATCTGCAAACCACAGGATCTCATGGATGTGCAGCCAAAATTCAGGCGCCAGACACCACACCACACCCGCCCATGCTCCAAAAGGTCAGAGCCGCTATGACGATACAAGAGGGACCAACACAATCTCAGGCAGCTGGTTTTAATGTTGTGGCTGATCTTTAGAGGCGATACACTACGGCTGCGAATCTTGTTCCACTGCCCAAATTTAACTAGGTTGACACATTTAAGTGATACATTTCCTAAAAGTGTGAGCCGCAGACTGACAAGTGTACCAAATAACGTGGCGGCTGTGTAGACGCTGTACATAATCTATTAACTCTGAAGAAAACTGGATGTAACAACTCTGCTCGGCTGGCGTGTCAGAGCCGGGTCAGGATGAAGCCCCGTGCTAAGCGCCTGTGCTAAGCGGCTGCCAAACACATTCAAAGTCTCGCAGAGATAAAGGAGCCGTCCCTTTGACATTTTGAGAAATGCCATGTATGACAACCTCTAAAAGCTACAGGAAATCTGTTCCCTCCGCTTCATGTTCTAAAAAGCCTTTTCCTTTCAAAGGCAGCATGAGAGTGACAAACCAGAGAGCAGTCTAGACATTTTAGCATCTCAGGCTTCAGAGCCGTGCGCTCCTCTTTTCCTCCATGCTAATTCAGCCGGGGTCACATCGCTGAGTGTTTGCTTGAGTGCTTCACTGTGGGATTAGGAGATTCAACAGGCAGACAGCCATTTGAATAATTGTTTTCAAATGTCTTTCTTAATATCAAGATCCCATTACTTACTATTCTGCACACTCCCTGGTGATGAGCGCTGGAACTGTTAAGTTTGTGTGTGCGTGGCTGTCTAATGGAAGGCACTTATGCAAGGCCATGGAGACTCACTCAGGATGCGACGTAAATGGAAGCGCAGAACACAGAAACACAGAACACTTGATGTGGATTGGCTCATTAACTGCACAAGTGGAAAGAGTACCCTGCAGCCACCTTGGGATGAAGATAACGCCTTCACTGTCATCTGTGTGACAGCAGCAAGGTCTGGCCTACGAGGCTTCAAGAAGCACAGCAGCACGGAAAAGCATCTTCGATACTTATGGCATGTCTTCGGAATTTAATTAAGCGTGACTTTTGTGGGGTGTTTCCTCAAGAATTTCATTCTGGGTAGGGAGCAGAAGTCGCTGATGATTCATAAGATAGCGACACTTCACCGAAAACCATCAAAGTTCTTATTTAAAATCTACCACATGCAGTTAATGGTGTTAGCCCAGTGGGGATATGTTTTAACCATGAAAATCATTCAGTATTCAGGAATCGTTACACATTGCAAGTCTGTTTGTCATTAGATTAAACCAACCACATGGCTAAAAACCTGAATACTAGACAGTAAAATGGTGCACTAAAAATCACAACTAAAAGCTCTGGGCGCCCCTATAGCTCACCTAGTTGAGCAGGCGACTCATAAACAGGGGCTATAGTCCCCAACGCAGTGGTCGTGGGTTTGACTCCCGCACATGACCCTTTGCTCTCCCTATTCTTCTCCCCCCCTTTCCAGTCTATCTCCACTGCTCTAAAATAAAGGCAAAAAAGCCCCAAAAATATATTTCAATAAAAAAATAAAAGCTCTGAATGTGAAATGCAGAATCAAGGAAATTAATCTGAATTGCAGCTCACAATAAGTACTGCAGCAATGACTGCCCAGATTTTTACACCATTCAGACAAAAACAGGTTCAACCTTTTACATTGTACTGTGACAACTTCACTGTTTTAATGTGAAACTAATGCGTGAGTGAGGAAACAGTGTTTGGAGAACAGATAAGGTGAGGATTAAATAAAGTTTGTGATTAAAATGTTGTAACAATTTTTTCTCCACATTATTACATGAAACATTTGACGCTATAACAAAGATCTTGTTATAACATGAAAAGTACATTGACCGCTTAATGCTAAAATAATAAGTCACTGGGTTATGATGTTAAAGCTATACGTGTTAACTGATGCCAATTTATTTTTACGTTATAACGTGTTAATCACTGCTACAGCGTCAAACCTGTTGACGCTATAGAAGGAAGTTTAAACATTATGATCTCAAACGTTTGATGCAACAACAAGTTAACACGTTATAATGTGAAATGCTTCACAGAACAAATATTTCATTGTAACGTGAAAGGTTTTATTTTATAACAAGATGAAGAAAAACTTTTTGCTAAAATGCAAAAAGGCTGTATATTATGATAACATGAAAAACGTTTACGCTAAATTGTGATTTTGATTTGTTCTTCTTTGTCTGGTGAGGTTGACATTTTTTTCAGCTTTTTTCCCACTCACAGCTGAAATGTATTTAGTATACACTCCATGTTACCACATTATGAGCAAAAATGCTGCATCTGACGAGGAAGTCCTGAGAACAGTGTGTCCGTTTTAAACTTAGCAATGACACAACATTATTAAATTTTCACGGGGAATGTGTGAGCTGCTAAATATACCACAATGTTCACCAGCTATTTGCTAATTTTGTCTGCCATTCAGTGCAGGGCAGGTACAAGGTTGATGAGGGCAAACAAACCAAACGGGAACCAAAGCAATGAGCTGAAAGATGCTAAAACACTCAGACTTGTCTTTTCATATTGTGCACGGTTATTTAAGTCAATATTAACATAAGACATTTGATTAGAGCAGCTTTAAAATTTGAATACTGTGATTCTTTGTTTCGTCTGTATTTGCTGCTCTGACACCTTCAGCTGAGCATCCTGTTTTCTTGGATTATTGCTAAATCAAGTGACAGGACATGATTCCACTAAGTTCCATCGACTGAATATGATATAAAAAAGCTCACATCTGAGAACAGAACATGAATCCCAGGGTATCGGCCGCAGATTGAGTTGATTCAACCCCAAGCATCCTTCTGTCATAACCACTTTCTGCCTCTAACAGCCAACAGCAGACACCCAGAGGTGACAAGGAGCTATATATCACTCATCACCACACACACACACACTTCACTCTGCTCGGGCTGAGATTAAGATGAGTCCACACCATCACACAAACAAGTAGCAATCACTACACCACTGGATTATTTATTACACTTGTTTGGCTTTTTTTTTTTTTCTCTTTCTTTCTGTGCCCCCAATTTTCCATCTTGTCGTCTTTCTACCTACTTTCCTCTCCCAAGGCGGAGAAGGTTGCTCAGCAACCGGCACAACACAACAGCGCGCCTCTCCAGCTTGGCTCTCTGCTCGGTGTGCCCCTGTGGTTTCAGACAATCAAATACACGAGTGTGTGTGCATTCATACAGAATGTGTGCGGGAAAGGTGAAAGCTATGAATACTTTCCATCTCATAAGTGAAAGCCAATAGTCCCTTTAGCTTTTAAGAGCTGCCTCTTGGCTCAAGTGTAACATCATCTTGCATTCATTGATGATTTATTACAGGGAATTCCACTCTGAACTGCCTGTAACAGAAAAAACATTGAAAAAAAAAAAAAGAAAAAAAGAGTTAGACCGTGAATCTGTTGAGATATGCTTTTAATTCACTCCAGCTTGAATAAAATCACCAGAAAACCACCTGTTATAGACAGAGCCGTCTATCTAGAGACTTATTTGACATCTTCAAGGCCTGCATGGTTCCTAATGCTTCCTGGTAGAGCGTAAATTTGTGTAGTTTTGTGCAACATTAGCTACAAAATTAGAGCTGCGATTGAATTGGCAACAAATTTGAGTTCCAAGAAGTGAAACCAGCAGAGGCTTTAAAAATTGATAGATTTTTCAGTGTCTAAAGATACAAAGCTTTGGCTGGAGCGTGCTGAGTTTCTGACCCAACCTGCAAAGAGACCCGACAGCAAAGCACACCCAACTAACGGCAACATAAGCACTGAGCAAATCACTGCAGTATTAGCGCAACTATTCGACGTGTTTTGTGCTGCTGCATCACCAATCACACAGGTACAAGTGTAATCTGAGCACAATCTGTAGAAAAAATAAGACACTCGTTTTCCAGGTGCACCCACTAATTAAAGACGGTCACAGATTGGTATGAAGTTACAGTAATCGAGCGAGCTGCTTGGAGAGTATACATTCGAAAATTAGAATCATCGTCACGGCTTTACAAAAATATACATTTGTGGGCATGCACAGAGCGACAACTTGGTGCATCCGATACTTTAAAAAACAAGGTAAAAACAGGAGATCCCCCTCAGTTTACAAAAGCAAAGCTTAAGAACAAATGGCACTTACTGTAACTAGAGCAGTGAGGAATCTCAGGGGCAGCATTACAGCCACGTACACAAACACTCCCACAGACGCAACTCAGACTGGAGGCGCAATCAGTGGATAGATACTGAGCTGCTTCACAACAAGGCTTTCACGTCAACTAAATTCATCCATTTCAGGACGGAGACTCCCTATTAAAATAAGAAAGGTAAACAAAGGAAATTTGGCTCTATATCCACGCTTTACATAACCCACCTCTCATCACCTTTTAAAAACAAAAACCTTCTTGCTTTTAACCATAACCTTGGCAATTTCATTTCACCAAATTGGCATTAAAACCACGTCTAGTCTTCAGACACAGACTGCTGAAGGTCTATTTTGCACTGTCGAGATGTAAAATGTTTCGTAATCCTTTAATTTAACTCAGGAAGTCGGAGTACGGTGTGCATATTGTAAACTTGCGGGTGATATGTTAAGACTTAATTTAATCTGGTCTAAATATACTTTGACTGTGAAAGTGTAGAATGTAAACTGATCCAGTGATGCTTTTTCACCTCAGTACTTCATGTTTCTGCTGGCAAAAAGAATGTGACTGACCCATAATTAGCTGTGTGCACACCAAACATTCCAGAAAGAAATATCACATGGCAAGTGTAACTCAATTTGTGTCGGCTGGCTGAACTAACAGAGCTTCAGGTCTCTGCCGCCACTGTGTTCTGGTCTTGGCTCCCCTCAGCGGCAGGACAGAGCGGTCCGGCCCACCACAGCGTCAGGGCGTTGTCCTGCCGGGCCTCCTGCTGCGACATCACTGCTCCGCTTCCCTCGGTGTCCGAGGCCGAGTCGCCCTCGCTGTCACCGGGCCACGGGAACTGCCGCTGACCGCTGGATGTCGCCAGCAGTGGCATGAAGGGGTGAATACTGTGGAGGGGAAGAAAACGGCAAAAGGGGAAAAGAAAACGATTGAATGTCAAGAGTTCAATGCAAACATTAAATGTGTTTTTGTAGGAATGGCATGACAAGACTGAAATTTCTGGTATTAAGCACTGCAGCAAAGAAAACAAGCGATTCATTTCACCATCCAACTGAGGCTAAAATGTTATTTTTGACATTTTTTACAACACATTTATTACCCTGATATACAAAGAAATCTGACTTTAATTAAAAATCCGTTTCATTTTCAGTGTATCGCCACTTTCTTCTCTTCTACAGAGAATGCACAAACATTAAGTAAATTGCTACTTCAACAAACACTGGATTATACATTCAGAAGATGTAGTTATTTCGCTCTGTTCTCACAAAGCAGCAATATGCTCCACTAAATTGTAACTCTGAAATTAGAAGCTGTTCTCTCACTGAAATGTTTTGGATCATTTGTTTGTCTCTGCGCTGCTTTTGTGAGAAATGATTAGAGGACCCGACTAGCATAACACAGCAGGGCGATCAGGCAGCAAAACAGACTGAACATAACTGAATTATCTCAATTTGACAATTGCGTACTTTCTTCTTTTCACAGTTGTTGTTTTGCTATCTGTTTGTACTAAAGCTCAGTACAATCACTCACCATCAATATGCCTAATAGTTGTAACCAGTGCTCAAAGTGGGCATCACTGATTCACAGTTCCTATGTTTCATTCTGTATTTATTGTAACTTCTTCTCACAAGATGCAGGGACTCCTTTCTGTCCTCTCCATATCAGGTCCTCTGGGCAATTCATAATGTCCCTCAATAAACTGCATTACCCAGGGCGACAGTACGTGATGCTCTGTTCCTGTTCTCACCTGTTCTGTTGGCGGCAACGAAAGGGGAAATTATTGAGGGATTTCGCTGGCGGAGCTGGGTGTCTCTGTATGCAAGCTGCATGGGGCAAATAACTACAACGATAAACTGGATGTTCTTGCTTGCATTGCGTCTCTCTGTAATCCGTCTGTTTGCTAACCTTGTACCTGGGCAGAGCATCTCTGTGTCTTGCCTGCCAGTCACTGCATTCTGTGACTGTGTGCCAGACAAAAGTCAAGAGTTTGATAAACGCCACCGGGCATCGTTATTCATAAACTGCAGGAAACGGGTATACATGTGTGTGACATGCATGAAACAAAACTCAGGCTTACCTTTCTCCCAAGGTCTAGTTACAACAATTGAAAAAAAATAACAACTTGTGAGGACTGGATGATTTACCAGGAATTTAAGCCAAAGCTCACAGTTTTAATTTTTTAAATTTTCTTATTGAGGTTAATCCACTAACTTAAGATCCTATAGAAAACATTACAACAAATAAATAGTGCTAGTTTAGACCCGATTCTGCTCTGTATAGGTGCATGTATTCTTAGACTCACAGATGGAGTTTTGAAGGAGGGAGGATTGTCGTGGGAGCACTGGGGTGTGATGTGTGACTGTGTGGCAAATGGTGTACATGGCCGACTGGTCAAGAAGGAGGGAACTTGAGCAGAATTTTGCTGAGGGCCTTTGGAGGTCATGCCAGGAGGAATACCAGGAATTAAGGGCATCTGGACGTGATAACTTCATTGCACCACATACTAAAGATAGTGTTTCATTAGGGCTGCACGATTAATGACATGTTTTGGCTTCACCTTTGTGGAGCCGTCATACCGCTGCGAATGCACCCCTGAAGCAGCATCTAGTACTTTAGATTTAGGGCAAGTGATGTTTAGTGAGGACAAAGAGTCAGAAAGCAACACAATTAACTTGTTTAACCACCTGAAACAACACAAACTGCAGCATGACGGTCGAAAAGAATAGCATCGCTTATGTTTCCTCACTGAGTCCTCGTCCTTGTCCAGCATCGACTCAGATATCCGGAACAGCGACAGTGTACAGTGTGAATTATGCAGCGTGAAAGTGACAGCAGCAGCTAAGTTGACTTTCTTACAACTTTTGCTTCTAGGAGATGCACCATAAACATGGACCGCTCTTATTCTGATGCACATATTTTTACATTAACAGGAATATAGCACAACATGGAGCTAAAGGTAGTGCTGCTTATTTAAAATGAAAGTGTCATACAAATAATTGTGCCCTAAAATCAATTAATAACAATTAGAATCTCAGTGTTGATCAAAATAAGCATGATTATCATTTTAGTCATAACAGTGCAGTCTCAGTGGACCTAGTCAATTATTTTGTACTCTAACAACCGTAACTGTTGTCTCACTGATTGAATACATTTATGCTGTGAACATTAATAATATGTCCAACTTTTATTCACTGTGGATGTTCATGGTGTATTTTACCGTATTCATAACAAACATGAACTTAATGGGAGTCAGGAAGAGTTCTGTGAATGAAACAACTTTAGTCTGTTACTTTGTCTAACCTAACACTACTGAAACTGAAATCCTAATTTGAGTCAGAGGTCAGTGATGTTTGCAGCCACTGGGATGGATTAGGGTTTTTAGCACTTATACCTGATACCGTTGGTGCAATCCCAGTACGCCTGGAACCTGAGCTGAGGCTGCAGCAGTTCTTCGTTCCCATCTGGAGGAGCTGTATGGGTGTCCCACACTGACACCACTCCCTCTGTGTCTCCACTCAGCAGGTATCTGCCGGACCTACACAAGCACAAAGCATCACAAGTGGACATAAAATACAATGCAGCTGCCAATAGGTCACAGGTAAATGACTGCTAAACCTGTTGGAGAGAAATTTCAATAAAATTCAAGTAGCTCAAGAGACGTGGTGCACAAAATCTGGATGAATGACTCCAAACTGGTCTGTCCTTTAAGACTGTGTCACCACTGTCTTGTCAACTTACTGGTCAAGGTCAAAGTAGATGCGCTGATTAGTGGCCACGTTCCTCTTAAGAGAAAACACAACCTTTCCAGGCTCTCGTAGGTCCCAGCACAGGATTTCTGGATCCTACATGCACACACATACAGACAGGCATGTTTCCATCACTTCAGAGGACATTACATCGAGCATATGTTTCCTGAAGGCCTAACTATTGTGACCTACCTGCACATTCTACTCTGACTGGGGCTGCCACTTACAACTGTTTTAGTTGATTCATCTAAACAATTAATTTTCCTCCAAAAATGAAATAACACTAAATTTAAGCTTGAAATTATATTTTCACAAACTGTATGTATAATGCAGCACAGTATGAACAGAAACAAAGGTTTACAAAGTGCAAAACTGTAGAGCAAACTGGAAACTCCAACAAGATAAAATCAATGAAAAAGGAGAGATTATTTTATAAGTCAGTAGTGAAACTCCAAAAGAAATCCAAGCTTCTGTCAAACAAAGTGAAAACGTTCCGTCTTTATATAAACGTGCAACGTGAACATAGTGGATATTTGATCAGTTTTTCCTTAATGTGTACTTGTCCTCTGACTTTCATAGCAGCTTCAAATTCTATGAAAATACAGTGGAAGCCACAGCACAGCCGTCATCGTGTTTAACTCGTGTGTACGATGAGACTGTCAGAAAATGTTACAGTTGTAAAACTGGGATTTTAGCCGCAGCTTGGACGTGGCTGCTGGTTAACATGTATTCTCAGCGGGACTTGTTTCAGTCTGTATTTCATGCTCGTTCCGTTGTCTGACAGCAGTAACAGAAAAATATGTAAATGAGAGCAGATTTATTAGGATTTCGGCTGTATTAAAATACAGTACATGTGAGCTTAGACAGCAGGAAAGAAGCACATGCACAAAGTACAAACCACTGTTAAAATTAAATGCTCTCTAAAAATTTGAACTTGTCCCATTCTTCCAAAGCCTTAAGTCTTTGGAAACTTTTACACTTAACCGAACATGACTTTGCTGTCTCCAGCATTGTCTGAAACTGTAGCACAAACTGCAGCTGACTAATGACAGGAGCCAAAAACAACGGATGTCATACTGCAGCAATTGCATACTTTAAGAAAAAGAAGTACAGCCTTTTTACTGAGAAAGATTACTTCAGTATGACTTCATATTTACCGTCAGATATACCATTTACTTACTGGTATTAACCTGATCGTTTGTTTTCTCAAAGACCTGCAATGTGCCCTATCGCGAGTTGGTAGCGTGACTTTCACAATGAGAGTAACTTTTTAGATATTGGAACAGTGAGCTTGTCAATATTTAATCTTCACAGAGTGTAACAAAAATGAATGGAGGGCAGTTATAAGTACAGAGGCTGATGTAGGTTGGTTTCAATGTAATTCATACTGAATGTATTGCGGGCCTTAAATTATTGGCCAATAATTATATTTGCAAAAATAATTACTTGTTCATTGACTCTGAAAAAAACTATTCAGAAATAGCAAAAAAAAAGAAAAGAAAGAAAGAAAAAAATGCAATGCAGGTGCATGTTTAAGCTATTGTGACATGGAAGCTCTGCAACACCTTTATGAAAACATAGTGGATCCTGTAGCTTTGCCATCTTAAAAAGCTGTTGTGCAAAACCCTGATAATGCTTACCACACAAAACCCACAAATACTGTGTGCGCAATCATTCAAACAAAGCAGTCTTATTACCTTCAGGTCTCCTCTCGGCATGCTGCTGCTTGTAACTGTGTATGTGTGTGTGTTCACACCTTGCGCCCGCCGGTGTACAGGTAGTTGCCATCAGGGGAGAAGAGCAGATGGGTGAGGCCTCCGTGGTGGCGGGTCGGCAGCAGAGCCAGCAGGGTGCCGTCTTGGCAGGAGTAGAGGCCAGCGCAGCGGGAGTAAGAGCCACAGGCGTAAACAGACTGGCAGGGGCTGAAGCCAAAGCAGGAGATGATGCCACTCTGGCCTTGCTTTTTCACTGCAGTGAGGACAAGAGAGTGGCATTTGGCGGTGCTTTCAGCCTTTTATAGTTCACAAGACACAATTTCCATTCATTTGTACTCAAAGTTGACTTTCTGGCAGCTCCGAAATTCATGATTACATCTCTAAGAGGAACATCTTTCGTAACAGTGCACATATGAACTCAAATTTGGATAATCTGTTTCTATGTTTTGATAACTACTTTCCAAATCATCCTCCTTTTCGCTTTTTAAAAAAAGTCTTACGGCATGTTTTTGGCACCAAAAAGCAGGCATGAGGGTTTGGCATAGTCATCACACGTATCACATAACCCGTTGTTGAGACTGAATACAGTTCTCACAATTTGAAGTTCTTCGTTATCATGCAGAGTTAATGGATGCAAACACAGGTAACTATAGATACCAATGAACTATTGGAACAAGATGTGAATTGCCAACAATGCCTGGCTGAAAAAACACCCCAGAACGAATTAAAATAAATACTTATTTCAAGCATTTGTTGCCAGGTTTGTTGCTGTCTGTATAAAATCAGGAAATATATGAAAACGCAACCTTTCACTTGAAAAATAAAGCTATTTGTTGATTATATCTTGACGGTTTAGAATATTCAGTCCATTAACTACAAAAAAAAAAATACTGATTCAGTTCATTTCAAAACACTAAAAACAAAACCTTTCAGTGAACTGAAGATGTTTGAAATGTATGACAACGATAAGGGATTCATCACAGTAAACACTGAGTTCTCTTTAGTTTTCATCAGAAGTACACAATAAAAACTCTCCTTGCCAGTTTGTTCAAGGAGACTTCAGCCTGCGAGATGTGACAGCCAGCTGTCAAACAGCAGCTAATTGAAAAAAGACGCAACTGCCTTCACATTATGCTTTTCACAATGTCTCTGTTTACTTATTGTTTGTCAGGGGCTTTGATTTTCGGAGAATATCGTTTGTGAATGCAACTCATTTTGTAAACTGTTCATTAACTGTTTGGAGTGTCCTTCAACAACTGTTTTCCAAACAGTTCCTGCTCTCAAACAGCAAAACATACTTTACATAAGTCATAATTTATTATTTGTTAGAATTAATTTTGCATATAACTAGTATCATTAGTCATCATCGAAGAGGCATTAGTACTCAGCAACGTGGGAGCAGCTTAAACGGCTATTAAGATCTGAAGTAAAGGAACCGCAACCCATATGTCTTTAAGATGACATACTTGTTTTTAAAAGAACACATGATTTGTAGTCAATCAGCTAAAACACTCAAAATCGCAGTTCATTTGCACATTGTGTCAAACGCAAAAACATCCTTTTCTTGAATACAAATTGCAGCTTTTATCCCAACTATAGTCTGCATGAGTCCTTAAAAGCTCATTTCCCATCCGTTGTTTCTGGCATTATGTAGTTTTCAGTAATTTCAAGTCAGGATTATTTATCTATATTTCTGTATTTCAATGCCAAATCCGAACAGTCTTCGTCTACTTCATATTGTTGTCTAAAAAAACAAATCGATGTCATCCGAAACTGTATTACAGAGACACACAGTGTTTTAAATTTATTACAGTCATTACAGCAGCTCTAAAAAACAGACAAAACCTCCTCAGATCTTTGTCCTTCCCTACCTCCCCTTCTGCAGCCTCAAAAATGGTTAGATTTGTGCTTTTCCATGTGATGATCATGCTCTGACTGCATGTCAGTCATTTTTATCTAGTATAGAACATAAATATTAAATCTCATAGTACCAAACACTTGAGCATGAAGTCATCTATTGTATTTCTGACTTTAAACATTATCTTTTTTTTTAGGAAGAGTTGCATTTACGGTTGCAGACCACACAAGTAACCTCAATACACTGGCATTTTAAAAAGCACTAATTGAAACAGAAACAGAAAACCCTTTGTGAAGTAATGAGGAAGAACTTAACGGATAAGATCATGAAAAACCTTAATGATAAAAGAAAGAATGTGTGAGATGTGGCAAACAGTACGCCAGTTGGTAGGATAAGGTTGACCGTGACAGGATGCGACACGATGTGATAACTGACCTACAGTGGGCCGCTCTTCACAGTCTCTTCCAGGACGCTCAGTGTAGAAAACCCTGACTGTTTTGTCAAAGCCGCAGTAGAGCTGTGCTCCATCTGGCGAGAAGCAGAGGGAATGAGCTGCTGTCAGCTCATCCAGGTGATTGTAGGGTCGGAAACTGGCTCGCACCTCGCCATAAAACGCATCCCACACATGCACTGGGTTGTCACGGCTACTGCTGGCGAGACTGTGGAAGAGGGGTGAGAGGCCAGATGAAAATATTGGCTAACAGGAAAAGAGAGAGAATTATTAAAACATATGTGAGAAAGAACTGAGACAGCAAGAAGTATAAACCAAATGATGCAAATGACTAAAAAAAGGGTTAATCAATATTTTAAGTGCTGAACTGTCCCTTGGGACTTTTGTTTTTCCAAAACTAGCAATTAACAAGAGTTACTTTGGCGTTACACCACATATGAACATATTCAGTGTGCTTTGAAGGAACATGGTATGACAGTCAAAAGAAAAACTAGTGTGATAAAATAGTTTTCCTGAAATAAATCAAACAGGCTGCTTACATCTTTCTGAGATATATTTGTTGTGTATGATCAAAAAACTTTTGGATTCATTTTCTAGCTTCTAACATCTACTGCAGCACATCCACGTGAATACATCAAAACAGATACACAGCGCTGTGCTATGCCTCATTATGAAGACAAGACGGCAGCACGTTCTTATTGATTCAAATCAGGGCCAAAGATTGAGCCATGCCTTTTTAACTCTAATTATTGGGAGCTGAACAAATGCTGAAACATCACTGCAGCTCAATTAGACAAAGGAAATTAGCCCCTACCGCTGCTGCCGTGTTCTGTTATGGCCCCTCTGAGCCACGGCTTTATTCCAGAGCAGGGAAATGCCCAATTATAATGCTAGACTGCTGCTAGCTTGGAGCAATGCCTAGAACTCAGTGCAACTTAACCGAGCCATAACAGGGGCCCTTATTCCCTCTCTACAGGAGGGGCATCAACAACACACAGCTTTTGGCAGACAGAGAGTTCAAGGAGCGCAGGGGGAGGACTGTGAAACAAAATGACGATGTGAAAAGAGGGAGAGAAGGCGGCAGGCGGGAGACAGAACAGGTTTGCTATAGATGTTGGTAATAATCAACCACAGTCTTTCATCTGGCTGCCACAGCACTTAACGGTGTACTCTGTCTGACCACCTTGCTGTGCACTGCAGGAGCTCCCCTCTGAAAGGTGGCACTGATCTGAAGAAGATCAAGGGTGTTTGCTGTCAGCTCCTATTGACACCCTCGATCTCATGACAGGCAGGTCTTTGCATGGCTTTGGCATTTACACGCAGCGCTCTGAAGCGGTTCATTATCCACGAGACATTTGTTGATCATTTCGCTGTTTACACAACTCTCCTGTCCTGATGTCCAGCTCCTGACCCCCACCCTCCTCCTCCTCCACACAGTCAAGGCTGTTTGCTGTTAGGATGGAGCAGTGCCAACGCTGGGCCTTGATCAGAGGGAACTGCCGGAGGGTGGAGGTTGTAACTGGAGGATGATGGGAGCTGGGGGAGGAGGAGTGCAAGCAGTGAAAACTGTTGGCAACATGACCTTAGCTCGTTAGCATGGCCCTACCTCTCTTACCACAGACGATCAGCATTCACCACACCGACGGCTGGGTGTTGCTGATGCTGGCTTCACTTCACAGCGTACCCACCATAACACAGTGATGTCATAATTACCACAATGTAAAAACCTGTGAGGGTGCGCGCCTGCACACACAAGCCGAGAAAGGAGATGAAAAGGAAAGCCTCAAGTCAGGGAATCATAACGCCCTTTAGGTGTTGTCTGGACTCTGGAGTGTTGTTAGTGGGCTGAATAATGCTGAAACACATCGTGGGCCTTAAACAGCCGAGCGGATTGCGACAGAAGCAGACGAGACGAAGGCCAACTCTTCACTCATAATGAGAGACATCAGAAAGCTTTTAAAGCTTCTCGCCACTCCGTCAGCCAGCTCCCATGATGAGCGCAAACCATTGGGATCAAAGAATGAGTCAGAGGCATAAAACAATATCTTCTACATTCGGACACTCTATTAGACATGCTTAAGCGCACACACAAAAAAAAATCACACATTCAACACTAATCCCAATCTAAGCATCTGAGATGTAAATTAAAAACCAACTGACACAAGCTTCAATATACAACATGGTGCCTTTTCTGTGTATACCTTATTCACCATCGGCCATGTTAACTGTAAACATTTCATCTATCAGGTTGCTATGGGCTGAGGTTTAGGTAATTGCTTGGCAAAGATCAGGTTTAACTCACAAGCATGTGTCTGGCTCCAATGAGTTCATCTTGGGGTACCAGCAGTAGTCGTAGATGGTGTCTCCTTCAGCCATCCTCAGCACTGGACTCTGCCACCAGATAACAGAAAGGAAACATTTATTCAGGTATACAAGAGAGTGAAACCCACAGTATTAAAAAACGTAGGTAAAATGGCTTATAGGATCCATCAGTGCTGAAGCGGATACTAAATAGGTGGCTAGAAGGCAATAAAACAGGCTTTTCTTTGCAGTAAAATTAAATTTCAAAAGCCAGTGGCGACTTGTGAGAAACAGAGCAATCAACGCTCAATTTTCTACCCTTATCACAAAGGCTGTGAGATCTCTGTAATGGAAGAAAATGGATTATATTTCAATTATTTTTGCTCAGTGATCCCAATCTACCAGCTTGTAATACAATTACGGGATTGGCTCGCCACTTGATACGTCCCAAAACCCAAAAGACAGACTGTCTATTTTATTCTAACTGATAAATGCTAAGTAATACATTTTCTCAAGCAGTTGCCACAAAAACATTCTCGTTTGCTTTTCGAAGTTTATTTTAACCCAACACACATGCAGGAATTGCGTTCGACAGCATGTTGTATAAAAAGTTAAACCACATACACGACAGGTTGAAGCTGAAAACGTCACATTTCTCAATAGCTGGTTAACAAGGCAGGAATAGATTTGATTGGAACTCACCTCTATAATTAATAGCTCCTGTATAACTGTGTTTCTCTTTAGAACTGAATTAAAATCCAACTTTAAAAAAACAATATTTCAACTGATATACTGTCAAAACATTTATTTTGTTTGTCATTTCAGAAATATATGCTGCTTTTTCTGTCCAGGAGAACCCCGGAGCTATCTGTGTGCTCACCATCTCAGGAAGCACATCCCAGTTGTAGCTGTAAATCTCTGGAGGGAGGTTGTACACACGGAGAACATTGTCTGCACTGTTGGTCAGGATACAAGAACCATCAGGGGCCCTGGGTTTAGGAGAAGAAGGGGAAGGATGAGAAAGAGATGACGGTGCATTGACCGCTTTGAAGTGAAAACATAATGTACTCTGATTTGTTTCATGATGGAGCTGCAGTACAGGAACATGGAACAGAACAGGAATATGAAAATTTCACACTCAAATGACATCTATGGGGCTCTGACCTACACCAGGGACTAAATTAAATATATGCAGCTGCACTTTAGTGACCAGACAGCTTGTGCGGTAACATTTAAAGCATTTAACATTGTTTACCCAAATGAGATAGATTTTATCTTGACCACAAAATCAAGATATCTCTATACCTGAGAAGAGTAAGATATCAAAAATCAGCCTCTGTCTTCAGTTGAAAATCTAGCAGAAGTATTTTCTCACGAATCTGGCACTAAATGTAAAATGCACCACAGGTTTCCTTGTAGTGGACCTATTTGTTTATTCATTTATGTTGGAAAAATCTGTACAATGGTTCACAATATATGTGACAACTTCACACCTTCAAAAAAATGTTCATTGTGTTTTTTTGTATCACATCATTATCATTACTATAAAATAAAGAGATTACCATTTGCAGCCTTTAAGGTAATTCTCTGGAAAGTTGGAGTACTCAGTCCAGGAACCAGTCAGCATCTGGGGGTTCTGGGTAAAATCCAATCCAAGCCTGGAGACAGAATGGAGAAAAAAACAGAAGTCCTCAGTCAAAGACTTTAAAAGAGATGAACAAATTATCTGCACCGCAAGCTCATTCATTCTGTTTAAAATGAAATCTTCCATTTCATTAGCGTTGAGAACACAAAGGTGTCTAATTAAAAACAAACAAAAACTTACCTTGGTTTAATTAAGGTAAATTTCCTATCCTGGGACAAATATGTCACAGTACATAAACCACTGTGTGAACTTGCTCAAAGCTCAAGAGGAAAATTAATGGTGAGTTATACCACTTCACTTGCAAGTACTGAGTTGCTCCATTTAAACACACTGTCACTACACAGTGGAGTGGTTTGTTAATTACATTTCACACTTCTGCAGGTGAATTTAAAGCCCCTTTCAGACATGCACTACTTTCCATTAATCTGACAACATCCAACGGTGCCAGCTTTGTGAACAAGCACCTGGTCACTTCTCCGTAAAAGCTGGCATGAGAATGTTACCATCTTCTTTATCTTGGACCAAGTAACAATAAGGCAACACTTTCAACACATTAGCAGACTGTTAAAAGTTAAACTGTCCCTGTTGTAGGTATGTCTGAATGATAGAATGCCGTCATATTACCAGATTTATAAAGGCTGAAATGTGACATATCCCAAGTCTAAAAAGGTTTTACCGTTTTTTGGGGGGTTTTTTTCCCCATTGTAAATATTAACAGTGTTAAATATTTCAACTCGTTAACATTGTGGTGATTTTCACTGTCCCACTTTAAGATGAGTGCTATTACACAATGTGCCAAGGAAGCACAGTAGCATCATTACACATTGAAAATCTTATCAGAACATTTAAATTACAACTGTAACGTTAACTATATGAGCCCCTGGCTGTTTTCAGGATAATCTCGCTTCACTTTAAAGCTTTTATCTTGGTCACTATATGGGTAAGCCACATATGCTGCATCTTTTCTTTTTTTAACAGTCTTAGCTGTCCAGCTCTTTCATCTTTTGATACAATAAGAATTACATATTTGCCTTTGTATCAATGATTGCATTGCACAGATATTAACATATCAAGGCAATAACGTATCGATGCAATGCCGAGTTCATGAATAATTCAAACAAGACTAATGTTGTGGAAATGGACACACGGCTCACGTGTTGCGATTATGAATAAATCAAGCTAAGTCATGCAGTTATGTTCGATATGTGCAACACCTTTTTGCAATAAATACTTATAGTGGTATGAAAACGTTTGGGCACTCCTGACAATTTCCATTATTTCCATTTATAAGTCACTGGGCGTTTGGATCAGCAACTTCATTTTGAGCTATCAAACAACTGATAGACACGGTAATATTTCAGTAGCAAAACAACGTTTATTGGACAAACAGAAGATGTGCAATATGCCTCAAAACAAAATTAGACAGGTGCAAAAATGTGGGCACCCCAACAGAAAAAAAATCACAATATTTAGTAGAGCCTCCTTTTGCAAAAATAACAGCTTCTAGACGCTTCCTATAGCCTGTAATGAGTGTCTGGATTCTGGATGGAGGTATTTTGGACCATTCCTCCTGACAAAACATCTCCAGTTCAGTTAAGTTTGATGGTTGCAGAGTCGGACAGCCCGCTTCAAATCATCCCACAGATTTTCAGTGATATTCAGGTCTGGGAACTGGGATGGCCATCCTAGAACATGTACTTGCTCCCTTGCATGAATGCCAGAGTAGATTTTAAGCAGTGTTTTGGGTCATTGTCTTGTTGAAATATCCAGCCCCAGCATAACTTCAACTTTGTGACTAGATTGTTGAACATTATTCTCAAGAATCTGCTGATATTGAGTGGAATCCATGCGACCCTCAACTTGAACAAGATTCCCAGTACCAGGACTTATTCTTTATTTTTATTCACCCTCTTAATATTGTTTCGGTGTGGAACAGGTACACAAAGCATTTCACTGCGCATGATATCGTGTATGACTGTGTTTGTGACCAATAAAGGCCTTGAATCTTGAATCACAGCCTGATGGATCCTTCACCAAATTTGACTGTGGGTAGCAACTGTTTTTCTTGGAATGCTGTGTTCTTTCACCTCCATGCATAATGCCCCTTGTTATGACCAAATAACTCAATCTTTGTTTCATCAGTCCACAGCACCTTATACCAAAATGAAGCTGGCTTGTTCAAATGTGCTTTTGCATACCTCAAGTGATTCTGTTTGTGGTGTGTGTGCAGAAAAGGCTTCTTCTGCATCACTCTCCCATACAGCATCTCCTTGTGCAAAGTGTGCTGAACTGTTGAACGATACACAGTGACACCATCTGCAGCAAGATGATGTTGTAGTTCTTTGGTAGTGGTCTGTGGGTTGTCTTTAACCTTTCTCACCATCCTTCACCTTTGCCTCTCTGATATTTTTCGTGGCCTGCCACTTCTGGCCTTAGCAAGAATTGTGTTTGTGGTCTTCCATTTCTTCACTATGTTCCTCACAGTTGAAACTGACAGCTGAAATCTCTGAGACAGCTTTTTGTAGCCTTCCCCTAAACCATGATGTTGAACAATCTTTTCTTTCAGGTCATTCGAGAGTTGTTTTGAGGCCCCCATGTTGCCACTCTTCACAGGGGCTTCAAAAAGAAACAACATGCAACTGGCTACCTTAATTACCTTTTCTCATGATTGGCTGCACATGTCTATGAAGCTGAAGGCTTGATGAGCTCACCAAGCCAATTTTGTGTGTCCAATTAACCAGTGCTAAGTAGTTACAGGTATTCAAATAAAGAAAATTGCAATGGTTTTGAAAATGTTGCACCTGTCTAATTTTGTTTTGATGCATATTGCACATCTTCTGTTTGTCCAATAAACCTAGTTTCACTACTGAAATATTACTGTGTCCATCAGTTTTTTGATAGATCAAAATGAAGTTGCTGATCCAAACAAACAATGATTTATAAATGGAAATAATAGAAACTGTCAGGGGTGCCCAAACCGAGAGCAATTCAAACAAGACAAGGGAATGTGAAAATTTGGACACAAGGAGAATCTGAGGGATATGTTGCTTGTACACATTTTAAAAATTTAGACCAAGCATGTGTACTTTTTTTTTTAAACATGTTTTGTTTGTTTGAAGGTAGACAGTCTTGCTCATTGCTGTTAGGCACAGTTGACTGTATCAGATTGAACAGTCATCACTTTACTTCTTATAGCATCAGTTGTCACTTGTGGACAGCCTGCAAAGTTTACTTGTTTGCTCACACTTGATGTGATGCCAGATTGTAGACATTTTAATTCACTGGATTAAGGTGAATGGGTTGTCGTACTTTTTGCTTTCAGCACATCTAAAACATAGACTGTATAAAAGATGGACGTAGCTACCATGACGTCACCCATTGATTTGTGCACTGAGAACATGAAGCCAGGGTTTTGCTACTTCCTGGTTGACATCTTGGATTTTTGGAGCCAGTGACGCAAAAATCGTCGGAGGGGGGCGGAGCCATAGGAGGAGATTGATCAGACGGATTGAGAGGCAGGCCCCTCTCTGCCCGCCCTTCTGCTTGCTTCGTCTGTATGGTCACTGCCGACTGTCAATCAAGCCAGCCACGCCCCTTGCCCCGCAAAATTTTGACGATTTTTTAAAAATTCAGTATTGATTTATTTTCAGATTGGCCACCTGATCTCTGGACTTGATTATGAAAACTAATAAGAAAAAATCCTGAGCTGTAGGAATGCGGTATTTTGTGATCTGTGATCACTTCTTTTCCAATTCAAGTCAATGGGAGCCAGGGCTTTTTGGAGCCAGCAGCTGGCGGACGGAGGTTTTTGACACTGCAGGATTGGCTTCATTTTTCAGGGCCGGTTGCTACGTCCATCTTTTATACAGTCTATGATATAAAACTGCAGTTATCAAGCCTGCTATGATAACATAGTTTGCTTTGTGCTCTTGAGTGTGCACTGAGAAGCAGTGATCCTGTTGAAAAGATCAAACAGTGAGTGTCACAATTCTGAGTATGTTATTTCAGTGTTCCAAATTTCAAAGATTTGAATTTAAACTCCATTTCTGACTAAATCTTTGAAGAGTAGGGATTCTGTTAGTGCTCTATTTTGTACAGTGTGTTCAGTAAGGACAAATTTTGCTGACATATACGAAGAGAAATTCTTTTGTATGTGAAAGAGATCATGTCAAGTCAAAAAATAACTAACTTTGACCTGATGGGGGCACTCTCTCTTGGCAAAACTAACAATGGCTGAAAATAACAGGATTTTTAAGTTGATTTTAAAGACGATTTAACAGAAGTACAAGTTCCATTTACACAGTAAGGTGCAAAAGATAAACTTCAACAAGTTTGTGAAAGAGTTCACGTTTTAATTATTTCTTGACCAAGCTTTCACTTACTCGACTCTCTTGCTCTACAGTACATGCATCAAAGCCTCTTTCTCTATTTTGCAAACATGTGTTTAAAATTAACCCTGCTTGAAACAGCTCACTTAATGTGTCTATCATGTCTTTACTTAACCTGAGTTATGCCGGCCCTCGGTTTAAAAATAAACCTGCTTCCCCCACTTACTGTTGTCCGTCACTGGGGCTGTCTGCAGATCCGTTACCGTTGTGCTCCTCCTCTGGTTTCGTCTCTCCTTCTAAGGAGCCATCATGCCCTTGATCTCCGTTCTGATGACATTCTTCGTCACCTTCCCCACTGACTGTTACCTCTTCCCCTTTTCGACTTTCCTCCTTACATTGCAGTAGTTCCCCTGTTCCTAGCAACACAAAGCAAAATTCATGAAATATTACTGCAATCTTATTCTGTCAGACACTCAAACTCTTGAATGAACATTTTTCCCCTTTCAGGAATTTTATTTGATACATGCAACCTCATGGAAACAATACACTACTTTGCTCTGGTGGGGTTGGGTTTTCCTGCAGCAAGTCCGCCTGTGCTGGCATTTCTTCATGCAGTTTAATGGGCTTCATAGCCTGTTCCAGCCCCTGTTGCCCTTCGCTCATCCTGGGCCGCTTGGCAGATGGTGGGTTCCCATCCTCAGAGGTCTCCCGTACTTCTAGGTTCTCACCTTTAGGTAGTAAAGGTGGGGCCTGTTGAGGAGGCTCATTATCAGCTTCCGAGTCTTGCCCTGCACCTGCAACACCTCCGCTTTCACCACCTCCAGCTGAGTCAGACATCTCTCTTTGTTTATCAATCTCTCCTGTCAAGCTCTCCTCCAGTCAGCGTTTAAGTGCCTTGTGTCCAGCGAGTGGCTGTCAGACGTGGGTGAGGTAAGTGCTACTAGGATAGTGCTTCCTCCTGCAGTGTGGATGTTTGAGTCTGTTGGGGTACGAGGACATCACAGCACCCACCAGCCTAGGAAAAACAAATAAGCAGGTAAAGATGAAGACAGGGGGGGCAGAGAGGTGCAATATGTGGCAAGGTTTAGAATAGAACAGAATACTTCTTGTTGATTCCCCACTGGGGAAAATTTACACGCCACAGCAGCATCCAAAAATATAGAAAGTACAGGAAAACAACATTAATGAAGTAATATGCATCCTGGTGTCTGCACACAGCGTTGGCAAGGTATGTTGAGTCAAATTTCTCTCATTTAACCAGATCAGATTACCACTGTAAATTATGCTGTACAGCTAACCTTCTGTGAAAGAGGTTCTGTTCAGAGTTAGTGAACTGTAAGAAACGGCAACCTTTCAATAAATCTTTTTCCTAACAATTCTGAATGAACAATAAAGATTCTCAGTTGAGGGAATGAGTTATATCTTCAAACCTGTTGAGATCTACGTTAGTAACACTGCTGAACAAATCTGGGCAGGTCCAGTAGCACAAACTGTATGTGTCCCTATTTGCTGCCAAGTCAATTTTGTACTGGAGTATTGCAGCTAATAGAACATAGATAAAAAAAAATTGATGAGTAAATTGGTATTTATCACAGAGAACATGCAGTCAACATTAATTTCACTTTTGGTCAAAAGTAAACTGGCTTCCGCTTATTCTTCGTTATGGGACAGTATCAGACCTAAATGCACATATTGAGTATGTTTAAATGAATGGAGGTGAAAGCTGAAGAGCTACAACATGCTGCTGTCAGAATACACTGAAAGGTTAAATACATAAATTACCGAGCACTGACTGAAAGTTTTCAACCAGCATTCCTCTCTTGCGTTATTTATAGTTACAGAGCATTACAACAATCTCCTCTACTGACTGAGCTGGACAGACAGTTTTGTGCAGAAGAAAATTCAAATGAAACGCTAAATGAACCCTCGGAGCTTTAAAAATAATATCAAGGATGTCTGTGTTCATAAAACAGGCGACGAAAAAGGTTTTAGAGTTACGTTGAGCTAGCTTACACAAAAGAAGCCTGGCTATGTCAAACTTGCTTCGTAGTACACCCCTCTGAGCAGGATGTGACACCAATAATAAACACACGTACTTGTTGAACAATGTAGCAGCATTAGAGCACTTCTACTAAACCTTCACACGTTTGTCAATTAAGACTAAAATAAATAAACGTGGGAGAAACACATTACTGTCGACAAACTGCTCTAGCAGACACCTGTGGCTAGTCGTGACGTTCCAGCCACTCAAAACTAGCATTCACGTCAACTCCACTAAGTTAAAGCTCCAAAAACACAATTTACCTGACAAAACCGTACACAGTTCACTCCATGTATGTCGTGCTGCCGCTAAAGAGTTCGAGTAATGATGGCAAAGCAGGTAAACTGTCTCCGTTTCGTTAAACTGCTTGTTTACAACGGAGACAACAAGCAGCTCACTCGAGCTCATGTTAGCATTAGCTTATGCTAGCAGTCTGATGCTACGTACCTGCAGTGTGGCTTGCCCGGCCTTTGGTTCTGTTTGCGGTTTGGTTACAAACACTTCTCTCCTCGGCGGTGTCAAAGTTTCCCCCAAGGCCGGAGAAACCGACTGACGCGCAAAACGAATCCTTCTGCTTTGGGACTGTGTGTTTCTACTCACCAGCTCATTACGAGAAGTTGTAAACACAGTAGGCGGCCATGTGTTTCAAACTATCGCGAGAGTTCCGTTGATAACGTTCACATGTGCTCATGGAGGGTTGATTCTGAAAGCAGTAGCAGACACACACCCACTTCCCACATAATAAAAATGAATAGAACACTTAGGCAGCCACAGCTAAATGCTATTTATTTAGTATTTATTTTGTTCTTCAAACAAACAAAAGCCAAACTATTTACACATCTTTCAGTTGTTCTTTTCCAAAACAGTTTCATTACACGTATGCTGTTAGTTTAACAACATTTAAAGACTTAAGCGAAGGAGCTGAGCTGACTGGGGTGTATCATATCATTAAGGTTGGAACAACAGCAACAGGCAACAAAGAACCAGACAATCAACTTTATATCCTTGAGTAGACAGGCTGGGACGTGACAGGATCTTTTCACAAGCTGAAACCAACCATCCAGGGCTTCTTGACAACACAATACTGTAATGTATCTGATCATAAAAGCCTGTGGAGTACAGTAAAACAGATGACTGACCAGCGATTCGTACTACACAATATCAGCTTTTAAAAATGTCAAACCTAGGCAATTTTAAAGTTATTCACTAATAAAGGAGTTGACAGCATACTAATCTGTTTCAAGTCAATTTCTCTGTTTTGGCAACTGATGGTGACAATTTGAAAGTTTAGTTGTCATTTTATTCACTGTGTGAACATGACTATCAAGTCAGTGGTTATGGCATACGGGAGCCTACTGTGGCTACTTCAAGTGATACCAACCAACCAAAACCCTCACCAAATCAAAATGTACAAGTTTATCACAAGTCTAATCTGATGTTATCAAATATATCAGATGCCACGAGGATTAAAAACTGCATACTGTTCCGTTATTAAGGGTACAAAACAAAAAACTATTGTTTTACTAAAAACATTAATCTCTTGAATCCAATTCAATATGCATACACAGAACAAGACACTGTCCAAGACTTCCTTCCAGATTCAGACACATCTGCTTGGTCAATTATTATCTATTCAGCGCCATCAGAGATGGTCAGCAGCACTACAAGGTGCACAGACGGAGGAGAGGCACTCTCGGCCAGGTTGTGACTCACCTCAAGGTTTAGTGTCAAAACCCACAAATATTACAAATCTTGCAAGCTTTAACTTAGAATTACTCGTATCATACAAGCCTGAGTCATCATCTCAAAACTGTAAAAAAAAAAAAAAGTACCTTGTATCTTCTAAACCATTTCAGTCCCTGGAGTGTATATAATGAACCAAATGCACTAACTTGTATCTCATTTGACCTGCCACTCTGGTTCAGTTTTGCCCAAAGCTGTGTGTCCAACAGTTATCACACTGCAACAAGTTTGTGCTTGAAGACAATTCTTTGCATCCTACCCAATCAGCTAAGCTCCAGACAGTACAGACTTGAGCCCTTTATTAAGCCTGCACCTTCAGCAAAAATCTAAATAGGAAATCCGAACAAAACCCACTCTTCGTTTTAATGAAAACAAAAAGGGCAACAAAAGCCAACCACCGGCAAAATTAGCTCAATCAAAAAACACTTACTGCTCTATTCTGTAGTTAACTAGTAACTTTAAAGGTGATCAGATGTACATGTAGCAGGTTTATACAGGGCAATTCTGTTAGCCAACAGAAAACAGTCTTGCTGAAACCTTTCTTTCTTTAACTTTAGAGTACAGTTAACAAGGTGGTTTCCAACTCAAATTTGTCATTTAGAGAACATTTTTTTTCAGTTAGCCATTCAAGACTGAACTATACAATTTAAGGCATGTTGAACCAAGAAATAAAGCAAAACCCACTATGAGAGAAAAATCAAAACACAAACTTTTACATTATTTACAAAGCTCAGCGTTTATATTGATGAGCGTTGATGCTTGTGTGTCTTTGTATCTGTGTGACTTGATATTGATGCATCCCTGTCATGTGTGCAGACATGGTTCCAGAGGAGAGCCAATGTAACTTTTGCTGTAAGTGTGCATGTAGTGTGTCTGCCGCTCCTTTGGACTCTAGAATCTATGTGATGTGTAGTTTGTGTTTTGTCATGTTTCAAAGTCTTTTTTTTTCTTCTTCTTCTTCTTCTTATTTTTTTTGTACAATTCTTTCAGTTCATCCAGTTCCACAGTTGCAGGGATTTCCGGGGGCTGAGATGTAATCCAGCCACGTCCACCATGACTCAACCCGGCTCTCCATCTCTGACGTCAGGGCAGGAGGGCAGGTCTTCTTGTCCCACTGGTTAGAAGACCTCTACGCAACCTCCCAAGAGTTTCAGGTCGAGGTGGATGATGACATCTGGGCAATACGTGCCGTTTTATCCTCTTCCTCGTTGGAGAGCGTGTCATCAAATCCCAAATCTGATTACTTCCAACACAGATGGGATTGATGGTTGATACACCTGTAACTTCACCTGGTAACTGTCCAACTGATAATGCCAATGGCCTGCCCAATCTGAGGTCATGAAAAGTTTCTTAGGGTTAAAGTTCAACGGGACAGGTTTAGGGTTAACTGGTTCATTGGTTGGCTGTAGATTAGATCCTCCTTGCAGAGGGCAGCAAATAAAGCACAGCCAGACTCCTATGACAAACCAAAAAACAAAAAAAAGAGCATGAGACCTCACCACAACACTGTCCAAACAACCCTGTGAGATTAACAGTCAATGAATCAAATGAAGCCATTAGAAATGCGTGTCAAGTTGAAAACAAAAATATCTTACCAATGCCGAACCCTTTTTTCTCCTGCATTCACTTTACAGCTCTCAAGGCAGCCGTCGGGTTGGAAGCATCCTTGCCAAAAGCTCTTTAAACCCGAGTCTGCCTCTTCACTGTGTGTGTGTTGATCAAACACTCTTGGTGGACTCTTTGTAGCCACTGCAACGTCCATTTTGATAAGTAACTATCAGTCAGTCTTGGAGCTGCAGCATGTCCAACACCTCAGTCCATGTGGATTTCCGTTCCATCCCCGATTATTTCAGGGTTACTGGCAAACTAATGGAAACTCACAGCGAGTCCATCTCAAACTATATTCAAAAAGATTGGTTTTCATGAAGAACATTCACTCCATATATTCAACGTCTCATGAATTTTCCTTCATCCATTTGCAAATTTTCTTTCTACTTTGAAAGGTAATACAAAAATATGGTTATATACAGGAGGTGGGAGAAGACGTGCTTCTCAAGTCTCTTATTTCAGTTTGGGAATATCTTTTCAGTGACTTTGTCAAAGTCGTAGCAATCCTCCTGTTGTAATTGTGCTCCCATCCCCAAAATTGTACCTCACAGCTTGAATGAACAAAAGTGCATAGGTGAGTTGGTGAGGGCAGGGTGTGGGTGCGTATGAGGGTTGAGGTGAAGACAAGTGCACTAACCAGGAGTACTCATATTGCCTTCTCAGTTCCCTCTAGGGTTCTGCAGCCCTGCACTCCGTTCTCCACAAAACAGAGCCCATCCTTGATTTCTTTCGCCTCTGCTCCACGGTTGATGATCAAGTCTCAAGACCCACGACCACAAACAAAAGTCCACTTAGAGGATCTTGTCCATGTTGTTGTGATACCTGCCACTCTTCCTCAAAAAACCCCAACACCACTCAATGTCCATATGGCAGAAGCGCACTTGCAAACCCCACCCGTCTTATGTGGGAACAAAAAAGCCAAAAAAAAAAAAAAAAGAAAAGAAAAGAAAAACAAAACTGCACCCACAGATATCCATGTGGTTTGTAAACAACCAAAGCTCCAGTATGGAATAGAAAGAGTCCTTTCTTTAAATTCTTAGTCACTATTTGTACGACCAGGATTGTAGAGGCAGTGTGTTCAACTGTATCCATCCCGAGTTTTTTTTTTCCTTCTCCGCTGTGTAAATGAAAAAAAAAAAAAAAAAAGACCTCGCTAAACTCTTTGAAGCTTTTTTGTATTTTGTTTCCATTTTTTGAAATCTTCTGAGGAAAAAAAAATCTGGTATCAGCACGGGTTTCTTGTCATTTTTTTTGGAATACATTCAATATTTTCTTAAGAAAGAAATAATACACACTTCACATGGCAATAATGAAACAAAAATGAAAAACAAATTAAGGAAAAAAAAATTAAAACACACAACAAAAATAGCAGCCCCAAGTGCTCATTATCTTAGTCCAAATACTTTTTAAACTTTGTATATAATGTATATATTCATATATATTTTTCATTTAAAAAAAGAAAACTCGTCATTATCAAATTGCAACAACGAATAAGTAACACAATATGCTAACATTTCATGCACCGTTCTGTGCACTTGCACATTAAGATGCTGTATTTTTTTTTTTCATAGTCAGAAACTCGACACCTTTCATTCACAAGTTCGAGAGCTGACAAAAGGCAACGTGATCACACCCCAGGAAAACAGACTGGACTAACCTTCCGATGGATCACCCCTAGACTGAACTAGAAATATTTACGATATAAACTTACATACTTTACATACACTGTGCTGAGCACTGACACACATCACACTCGCTCTCAAAAAAGAGTTAATGTCTCAATGGCCATGCACCCTATCCAAGTTCTTAGGCACAAATGTGCATTCATACACATACAAAACAGCACATGTATTCAAAATGAGTACCTGTAGTCTTAACTCATTTCTATGAACAGTAAATGAACATGTACTCTGAAGACACACACACATACAAAATCTCATTCAGATGCACACACAGCAATGTCCCTCATGATTCGCCATGTCTGCTAGACCTTAAAGGTCTAGAGACAGCTCCCCATGGGGAGAAGCTAAGGGAAATAAACTAGTGGTGGTCATCATGTGATGAGAGCAAAGCTAACATTTACACATGTATGCATTTCTATTTTTTTCTATGTGGGGATGAAGAGCTGGTGAGAGAAAGGATGTGTTGTGCAATTGCCCTCTCTCTCTCTCTCTCTCTTTCTCTCTCTTTCTCTCTCTCTCTTATTCAGTCACACTCTCAAAACATACAGATCAAGTCCCTGTTTGGAAAGGGACACAAACACACACACATGCTCTCTAAACATGAGAATACAAAATTACCATCTGAACAAAAAAGACAAAAATGGCCTCTTATGTTTCATACATCTTGGTAAGCAACAAAAGAAAAAAAAAAACATTGTGCAGACTGTATATTACTGACACAAACCAATCATCACACATCTGCCACTCGCTCAGTCACTCATACACATTCACAAAAATATTCACTTCTATAACTAACCCCATTTGTTTGATTTTTTTTGTTGTTTTTGTTATTTCTTTTTTAGGCAAGTGCAAATCTTCAAGTTTTTTTATAATCCATTTTTCAATAGCTTTACTTTTTATATAAACGTAAAAAAATGCTAAACAAGAGAAATATCAACAGTGTTTGTCTTTTGAGAAAGGATTTGCTCTCTGATAAGGTTTCAACTAAAGGTCCCCCTGACTTTGAAAACCTAACAGCCTGACCATTCACCCCACCATCTGGTTCACCACCCCCTTCCAGTTCCGACGCACATGCACACACATAATGTGTATGTACACATACCGTGTGCGCACTGATTCCGAACACACACGCACACATACACACATATGAAAAAAAAAAAACTATTCAAATCCCATCTCAATAAAGTGCATTAGTTCAGTATAAGGTGCTTAATCTTTTGAGTGCCAGAGGATACCCATCTTCCTTTTAACCTCGCCCTGCCTCACCTCCCTCTCCCCTGCTCTAGTGATCAACTGGTGCAGCAGGGAGCCCTTTTTTTATTTTAATCCATGCAGAGGGAAAGAAAGAGTGGGAGGCGCAGATCTAGGCACCTCCACCCTGCACCTCCCCCTCGCGCTTGCTCCCCTCCTACCCCCACCCCCTGGTTTCCCCCAGCAGTGCACATTCGTCATCAGGTTTGTCTGATTAAAAGACAGAAGGCCTCAGGTAGCTATTGCTGCTGCGCTGCGTCACATCAGTAATCCTCCACCATCTCCATCTCACTCATTAACTCGGTCGTGTTGTGGAATGAGTACCCTGCAGCGAGGAGGGGGAAGGCAAGGAGGGCAGAGGGAAGGGATGGAGAGAGGAAAGTAAAATCAGAGGAGGATGTGATGACGGGGAGTCAAGGCCAAGTCATACTTTCTGCACCCGCCTGCGCAAATCGACGTGGACTCTGAAAGCAAACTGCAGACGCAAATGCAGTTCTACATATACAGGAATAGGTATGTGTTGAGCTGTGTTACAGATGCTCGAATTGGCCCTCCTATCAAACACAGAAAAACATATAAGGTTTCTGAAGGATAGGCGCTGACCTTTCACCATTTAGAGTATACAGCAGGTGGTTGCACATTGGGCTGTAGCACAGTGTGGATCTGTTTATTCCTGAGGTGTCTCGATTACAGTGGGCAGACATAACAGGATTTCTGGAGGATTTAGAATTTCTTACTGTGCTTTAGCAACTTAGATGGAAACCATATCCAAATCAAAGCACCTCCAAATAGTGTGGATGATGGAGGACCACCTCGTAGTCTCTCCAGTTGTGTCCTGGCGCATGTGCAGTCAACATGTTTGCATTGCACAGTCCACGCTGTAACAAATTTCAGGTTGCATGCTGAGATCCACAGAGGGGTCTCTCACGCGGATTTGTGTGGATGATGAAAATAATGTCACGCAGACTCTTGCATACACAAAAAGCATGAATTGGCCTTAAGGGGGCTACGTTACTGTTAGCAGGTAATAAAGATACAAGCAAAGAATTATTTGACGAGAAAGGTTCTTGCAGAAAGGTTGTAATGTAAGAAAAAATTAACTCATACTTGTTCACGTTTTAAATATTACATTAACATTTGTTTATGAAGTGTTGTTTAATCGCTGAACTAGAAAGTGGTGACATCAAAGGTAAGTAACATGGGTCATTCAATGAGGGCCATGGCAAACTAGTACCTACAGAAAGATTAGATATGACCTAACTTTCCCAGTTCATCAATTAACACCTACACAGGTGCAAAAAGTTCTAAAAAAAAAAAAAGTAAGAATTTCTGCAGCTGTTTTTTGCATCTTTGCTTTTGATGTACTCCATATTGTGTATATTGTCTAACTCTGACCCAGAAGCGTGCACCTGTAGACATTCTGTGTGTTGTATAACCATAATGCTAAACTGGGTTCAATCCATTTAACGCTGGCCATTTACAGATTCTCACCACTAGGTCACATACCTAAGATGCTGGGGTCAGAGTGCAGCATCATGGGCTGTTTCTTCTTCATCTTTCCCCCTTGGTTGTCATAGAGACCAGCCTTGCCCATGTGGTTGGCCTGAAACATGGACTGCAGAGTGCTTGGATTCATACCTCGCATTGAGTCCTAAAAAAAACCAGAAACATAGAGACGATCATACAAATAATCCTCTAGACATGGCTCCTGCACATGTAATTATTTCGAAAATGAAAACATATATGCAGCATGAAAACTGATTCCAGCAGAAAAATTCTCACAGTTGCCTTATGTCTTCATGAAATACGTAGAAATTTCAGGGACAATTGCTGGCCAAGGTTTAGAATTCGGCAAAAAACACATTTTGAAAGGCCCTATCAAACCATACTTTATTTACATTTGGCCATCTGCCCTAACAACTCAGCTGTGTCATAGTTTGCATCTTTAGTACAGAGGCATAACTTGCTTTTACCTGCAGAGGGAAGTTCATGTTCAATCCAGCCACTTCCTTTGATAACTGGGACACAAAAAAGAGGAGAGATATATACATTTTAGCCTGTTAATCATACTTCCAAAGAGCCCCTATTATCTTTTGGGATATTTCCACTTTCCTTTAGTGTGTTACAGCTTTTTTAGTGCATGTAAAAGATCTGCTAACTTACACAGCCCACAGGCCTCAATGAAAAGAAAATGCCTCATTTTATGTCCAGGCTATGCTTCCGTTACTCATCTATGTCATTTGCGTAACACTTGCTTAATGTCTAGTTTCCTCACTGTCTGGCAACAATTCCTCACTAAAGTCGCTTCTGTCGAGCGACATCTTGCTGCCTATGCTCAGTGATTTTGGGTTACAACTTAACCAAAGTTGCCTTGCTTTTGTCGGGTCAACTGACCAATTAGAGCAAATTTGGCTTTTGGGGAGGGGGGCCTTAAAGAGACAGGAGCTAAAATGGAGTGCATCAGTCAGAGGTTGAGAAGAGGAGTCTTCTTACAATGCTCTGATAGTAGCCATCAGAGGGCCTTTACTTGCTCCAGAAAAAAAAAAACAGTCTATGTCAGAGTTTCCACAAGTCAGTAACGTTCTCCTCTTAAAAGATCCTTTGAACTGAGGCCTACCTGTTGCTGCTGTCTCTGTTGGTTGGCTTTCTGTTTGGCACGTCGCTCCAGAAACTGTTTGGCGAACTCTTTGGCTTCCACTGTGTCCCCTAGGTAGGACCGGATGAAATCCAGCACTGCATAGGGAGACTCCACCTCCTTCAGGTATGCCACAATTGTGGCAACTTTATAGCAGGAAAAAAGTTTGAACAATTAGCAACACTGAATATATGAGCACAGCGTATTGATGTTGTAATTTGACTCAGAGCAGCAAACAGCTGTCTAAACTGAGGGTGAATTTTCCACACCCTTGACTTTGCTAAATATGTAAAAGTTGATCAGCCTACCATCCAGAGAGGAGGAGGAGTTGTTGGCAGAGGTGTTGAGAGCGTGCAGCATCTGTTCACACCAGGTGGTGAAGCCGTCCTGAGGCTTCATGCCCTGAAGCAGCTTCAGCAGCTTCTCCTCCTCCTCCGTCCGCTTACGACGCATCATGTACTGATCACTACAGAGGACGTAGCAGGACAAAAATGTTAATTATTGTGATCAACTGAAAGACAAACAATTCCGCATGTCTACAGTAGTGGACATGAAAAAGACCCGTTTGTCAAAATCAGGCAACCCAACATTGCATTGCATTTTATTTATTCTGACTTTATTTACCTGAGTGAGGGGCTGCTGCGGCTGTTCTTCAAGCCCATGTTGTTGTTGCTGTTTCCACGCAGGCTGGCCTGGTTCTTTACAGCCTCATCCCACATGCCCATGCTGCCTGAAGATCCTCCACTACCACTCTTACCCTCCATACCGCCAGGCCCACCCCACATGCCAACGCCATCCACCCACTGCCCTCCCATGGAGGAGCTGCCCATCGACATACCACTGTGCTGTAAACAGAGAGACAAATCAGGCTGAATATATAATTTGACCAACTATATGTAAATTTCTACTTGCAATTACGGAAACATGCTAGCATGATCACTGAATTAAACGCGTTTAGCTGATACTCACGCGGTCTCTCTGCTGCTGGGCTCTCTGCTGCTGCTGCTGTTTCAGGAGCCTTTCTGCCTCCTGCTGCATTTCCAGCAGAGCCAGAGCCGGGGGCTTTCCTGCCTTACCAAGCCCTGAGGAGGGAGCCCCGCTCCAACTTGAGCCGCCTGCCCCAGGTCCCTGCTGCTGGGGGGCCTGCTGCAGCAATTTCATGATCAGTTCCTGCTGCTGACGACACTATGGGAAGATATGAAATTTGTTACTAGGCATGAAAAGTCACTTCTTAAATTTAACGTAGAACATTTCTTGTTCATTTTACAAACAAAACGTCTTCATGTTTGCAGCGCAAATGCAATATAGGATAAATTGAGGAGCAAAATTTCTCCTTTCTTTAGCTCACCTGCTTGCGCCTGAAGAGCTCCTCCTCCTCCCTCCGTTTTTGCTCTTCTTGTTGCCTCCTCTTCTCCTCTCTCCGCTTACGCTGCTCTTCCTCCTCACGCTTCGCCCTGAGTTCAGCGTCTCGCCTCTCTTGCTGGAGCTGAGGGGAATGAATTGTTAAATGAATTGAATAAGCAATAAAGCTTGACTCAGTCCTGGCTTTGGCATTACTCAGCACCATTGATAAACAATCCATTTTGAGCTCAGCTGCTGCCTGCTATCAGTACAAACAATCTTGAGATTGTCAAGTAAGCATTATAAAATGCTTCAATTCCTTTCATTTAAAACGTTTTCGCTACGAAACTGAAATACAATAAAAAAGTGCAGTGACTAACAGTGCACAACTCACAACTGAACTCACCTTCTGAAGCTGTTCGAGAGTTGGACCCTGAGTAGAAGGATTCATTGTTATGTCCCAAAGACTGGCTTCACCGCCTACATGGGAAAGACATTTGATGATTTTAGCAGCCGTAGCTACAGTATCTGTTCATGGGCTAAATGTGCATGCCGTGTATGCACACACAGCAGCAGTCTACACCTACCTGATGGCTGTGAAGCTGAGGTATGCATGTCCCACATGGACCCTGTATCTGGCACTGACATCGACCTGTTCATCGAAGGCATCATACCCTGCTCACTGCACCTTGGATGTAAAGCCCCAAATGTAAACTTAGCTCAAAAGTCACAGTTCCTTGGATGTAAAATGACACAAACTGAATAAGGAACACAAACCAGTGAACATGAGCCCACAAATGTAAGGGAAAGCTTGTATCTCCCCCAACAGGCCTACCTGTTAATGAGCTGGAATAGCTGCTGCTGTTGGAGCTGTTGATAAAGAGCTGCTGCTGCCAGCTCCTGTTGCTTTTTCAGGCGCTCCTGGTCCAGGTTTCCCTTAAGAGAGGTAGGACATCAGCAGTCAATACAAAGCATCTTCAGACTCAGAATACAAAAACAAGTTTAAAAAAAAGATTTGATTGTGGGATGTTTTTCAATAGCATTTATGCATTACATTATTTAACAGGAAATTGTTCATTCTTTGTATTTATAGCATCTGATCAACTGTGCCACATTCAAAAGCATGCATGGGCACATGATTATATTTGTAGTCTTTTGTAAGGCATGGTGCCTGTCAAAAAGGTCTATAAACATTATGTCACATTAAGCAGGAAAACATCCATAATCTTGTCTTTTAACTTAAACTCAAAGTGAAGGAATATTTCTGTTACCATTATCTGTCTATTAACGTGCCCTCTCCCTTGCATCCTCCCCTCCCCATCCTCTAGGTTGGCTGAGCTCTGACTCACAGTCCCGGCGGGCCCCCGGTTGGGCTGCGGGCGCTGCGTTGGTGGGAGCTGTCTCACCAGCAGGGGCGGCGGGGAGGGCCCTGGGGCGAAGGGCACGCGGCCCCACATCTTGATGACGTCCCCCAGGGGTTGGAAGCCCTCATCGCAGCCCCGCTTCACCAGCAGGGTCATGGTGAAGTAGCCAGCCTGGAACCACTCGCACATCTCCACAGTGGTGAATGGACCTGGTTCGTAGGCAGGCCAGACACAGGTTTACAATGCAGAAACTAGGCTTATGAGGCTGACTTACCTCCAATGTAATCCAAGAAAGCTATGTCATTTTATATGTGAATGAATAAAATTCTACTGTGTGCAAGTGTACCCTGGATCTCCCCCTGGGGGTCCTTGTAGAACCACTTCATGGCGGCCTCATGAGATAGTGGCAGAGCAGCTGCTGTGTTCCTACTCTCCTGCTGCTGTTGCAAAGCCTGGGTGAAACACTCCTCCTCCAAAGAGGTGTCCTGCAGTGATGCCACCATCTTTTCTGCCTCCTACACAAGCACGCACACACAAACAGATTCATTATTTATTCAACATTATCAGTGTGGCAGACATGTAAACTCCATTGGGATGAAAAAGGTGACAGTTCTGTGATCAGGGAAAAACTTCTATGTGGTGTCTGTACACCCAAGCCAAACAAAGCTAAAGTAGTTTCAAAATCACTTTGGACATGGTTACCTGACTACAGCTTAGTTAAAGTAAGAAGAAGGAACAGTTACTACTTTCGATTTCAGGTGGGTAAAAAAACACGGTAGGTCCTGTGAGTGAAAAAGCAGACTGTTTGCAACAATTTTATAAACTGTCAATGACCGACATATCTAGTCAATAAAATGACTGAAACATGTCGGTTTAGACTGGTAGGGGGCAGCAACAATCTGAAAGAGATGAGACGGAAGCAAAACCATGTGCAATAGTGGAGCTACTTCATATTAAGCTAAGCAGAGAGGCAGGCAAATTTTGTCAACAAGTGACAAATATGCAGCCATAAGTCATGACTATTCTGCAACATAATCACCAGTTTAATCCCTGATCCCAGGAGAAGAATCTGTGTTAAATGCACTTTCTGACATCATTATACAATATTTCTTAGACAGATGTTTGATATGTGCCTACTGCTGTTCCTAACCTGCTGCAGGTGTTTCATGCCTTCATCGTCCTCAGTGTCTCCTCCAGATGGAGGGAGGAGAGGAGCAGCAGAGGAAGGAGGTGGGGGAGGCAGGCTGGAGGAGGTGGCGGCGCTGGGGCTCAGCTGGGCCTTGGAGCCCCCGATGGGAGCAACGTCTGCCACAAAAACAACAACAAGAACAAGAAAGAAGAGTAAAACAATGGGTCCTATTTTTAGTATTTCTATTTATGGGATAGTGATGTTGGATGTGAGCAGCAGAGCCACCTACTGGCTGTGTACCTGATAGATCTGGAACAGCGGGTTCAGTAAACAAGATATTAAATGACTGGGGCTAAACATATTCTATATCAAACCAAAGTATCAACGTGGCCAAACTTCCTCTCTTACAACTCTGTCCTGTGTGTAAAAAGGCTACAAGTCAAGACTCCTGAAGCTTCAAATCAGAATGTGTAACTTTAGAAAACAATATTTCTTTTCAACATCCATGTATAGTACAACTTCGCCCACTCCACAGAATAAAATATAAAATAATATATGAAAAAAATCCTATTTTAGCCTACTTTGTATGTTGTCAGGCATTTGAACATTTTAAGTAGCTAACTCCTCATTCTGACTTTGCCGTTGTAGCTGCTACCTTCTCAGGGCTGACAACTTGATCAAAGCAAGGCATGAAGCATCTCAAAAAGGCTTGTGCTGTGAAGGAGTAAACCACTTAATTCTAAATCACTGCTTAATAAAAAGCTGTTCTCAAACACATTTTTCTGGATTTTCATTTTTTACTATACAAAAATGTACTGTTACACACTTCTTGCATTTGCAGAAGAATATGCTACATATATGTATTTAATATTCTTAAACGGATGTGAGAGTTTATGACATTGTCTAAATATAGAGACAGATATATAAGACTGTTGCTGACCTAATTATCTGTGTTTGGCCAGTATCACAGAAGTCTACAGACAACTTAGCAAAATACAGAGATATTTGGAACAAGATACCTTCGCCAGGCGTGCTGTTGGCCTTGACAGAGTGGCTGTTGCTAAGCTGAGTGCTATCCACCACTTGACCAGCATTGCTAGGTAGGGACTCCAGAGATGGAGGGGTACAGTGGGCTGGAGGAGAGGAGGAGGGTGATGCTGGCTTTGTCTCGCCATCCACTACAGCAGAGATGGCTTCTTTACTCTCTGAGAGGTCAGGAGTGAAAGAAAGGATGGAAAAACTTTAAGTTGAATGGCACAATTATTAGTAATTCATTCATTCTTGGCCCGTGATCAAGGAGGACAATTGAGTAGCACAACGTGCAACGTATTCGAAAACAATCAAATAAAGAAAGATTATGTCTTTCCTTACCCTTGTCTTTGTCTCCTTCAGCGCTGTTCCTCTCTATGTCAACAAGGCTCTCCTCCTCGTCGTCCTCTTCCTCTATCCCCTTAAACTCCAACTCCTCCTCCAGGATTGTCTCCTTGCCACCCTTCTGACAGAGGATTGCCAGGAGAAGTAGAAAAAAAATGTGGAAGTGTAAGAAAAATGCTTACAGATGCAGATGAGAAACATAACAGAAGACCATGTGTTTGTTTTTTGTTTTTTTACCATCACAGATACTCATTTTAATCTTCTCTCTCAATATATAAAGTGTACACAAATTAAATAACAGAGAAGTTGTACACACCTTCATCGGCATGAAAGCTCCAGAGGAATCAAAAGTGCCCATCTCCCCATCCTCCTCATCTGTACACCACTCGGGCAGGCCATCTCTGTCATCCTCTAGTCCCTCGCTGCCTGCACGTCGGCGGCCACCACCATGACCCTCAGAGTCCCGGAAGTCGAAGTCAAACTTCCTCCGACGACTTTCACCTGGACCGCCGTGGTCTCGCCAGCCTGCTGAGCGAGGACCACCATCTACCAAACAAATGAACCACAATCAGTACAAACATTCTAGGGAAGATGGGGTAAAGTCTTAAAGCAACAGCCCCAGGAGGTGAGAAACATCCTCCCATGAACCTGCTTTATTTTGGAGTTTTAAAATATGCTGTTCAAAAAAGGTGATGTAAAACTGACTGGAGTGCCCTCGGAACTTGTGGAAACTTTCAAGTGCTGATTTAACCAACATCCAGCCAGCTATTGTGTCTTGCAGAAAATCCTTCACTTCCACTAGATGTCAGTATACCTACCTTTAAGTTAAGACTGCTGCAGACCTTGTTTAATGGAGGTTTAAACAAGGTTTGTAATGGATGTCAACAGTGGAATAAGTAGTAATAAAAATCAGCGTCTACTTCTCAGGGCATTTTAAGATTTTTTATCCATTTTCACCATGCAGAGTTTTACATCGCCTACTCTAACATGGAAAGTGTGAGCTGAACCTAACTTCATGTAGTCACACTTCCTTGAATTGTAACATTTGCCTTTTGATTTTCTTAAAGCCACAGATTACTACTACCTGCATAAAGACCCAAATAAGCAAACTAGAATTTGGGATAAGCTCCAGGTCTAATATAAACCTAAGCATTTAAACATGGAACATGACAATTGACATTTAGTCTCGACCAAACTTCTCTGTGTTGGCCACTTATTCAGTTTACTCGATTCCACAGTTGTTTTGATGCAGCAGTTACGCAAAATTAACCAGCAGAACTGCCTAACTGTAGTCTCAACACTCTTTCAGAAAAAAATAAATAATCAAACTATCAATAAAGCCATTGCTTTTCTCATGTAAACCTTTCATATTTAACACAAACAATAGTTAGAGGCAACACAGCAACAAACAAATGTTTGTATTTATCATACCATCCCTGCGGGGTCCAGCAAGTCTCCAGTTGCTGCCTGGCTCCCCCTCGTCCTCCTCCTGCTCCTCCCGGAGGGTGCGCCAGTTATCACTGTCAGCCCTTGTGTACTCCTTCCTCCCTGGACCCCCGGGACCTCCAGTTTCTTCAAAGCCAGGACGCCCCACCTCCCGCCGTAGCGGCTTCTCAAATCGACGCTCACCCCTGAGGAAAGGAGGGAAATGGAGAGAAAATTATATCAATTTGGTGATAAACAGAGGAAAGCAACGTCCAAAACATGAACCAGTTTTTTTTATCCTGGAAAAAGATGCCCAGCCAACACACCACCACAGATACCAAGTCATTCATTTTAACCAGATCCATGAAGAAAAATCAGGGAAAAAAAAAAACACAATCATCTTTAGTTTAGTCTAGGCAGATAAAAGAAGCTGCCTGCAAAAACCAGATAAACCTTCCCACAAGAACTCTACAAAAATCTGAAGCAGATTATAGAGTTTATTAGACTGGATGACAGCACCTCTCAGCAGTGACAAAATAGGCTCGTACTAAGCAATAAAGAATGTGGAGCTATGATTTATAAGATCTTACTAACATTTAAGGGCTTTTCTGTATGCTGTCTTTTCCTTACCGGTCATCCCAGCTCTGGCTGCGATGTATCTCCCGGACGCTGCGGCCAAAACCAACCTCTGCATCTTCAATACTTCTTTGGTAGAATCCACCTTCACCACGGCCTCGACCTATTCGAGAAGGCAACATATATATTTTAAATATAATCATACGAATCAGGTAACTTATGATCAGCTAAAACTTCCGGCAGTATTTAAGTAGCTTGTGTATACTTTAAACTACAGGCAGCCACACACATCAAAACATCCATTCTAAGTATGGGACCCACACAGCATCATTCTTCTCAGTTGTTTCCTTGGCCATTCTGAACCGGATAGCTAGTGTTTACATTGGCGTGTGTGGGGCGCTGTGTGTGGACAAGGTGAGTTCATGAGCCCAGTGGTTTTAGACAGGTGTGGCTGGACAAAAGGAGGACTATTTAGACAGGCCAAGAGGAAATGTGCTGCATCAAGATGGTGGAAGAAAGAGGGGAAATAAACACTTGAGTAGTTGCCTTGAATAAACTGTTTTACTTCGCCTGGATAAAGGCCATTGTAGTTTCAGCCAAAGGCTTTGGGCAGCATTTCTGTTGCTGTTGGACACTTAGGCTAAATCAATGCTTTACTTTATTATTTTTTCTCTTCTATCAAGTGTTTTCTTTTGCCTTTACCTCGGCCACCTCGTGTAGCCCCTCGTCCACGGACCACTCCAGCTGGGGCAGTCCCACTCACTCCTTTTCCCATGAGCCTCAGCACTGCCACACTGTTCACAGACATGGAGAAGTTCCTCTGCAGAGTGAGTGGAAAGAGCAAAAGGGAGGAATGTGAGGAATGTGAGCTCACAGGCACATCTGTCAACCAGCCAAACAGCTCGCTTCGGAACTGAGGCTGTTTTAGGGCGACAAGATAAGGCAGAAATAGTTTAATATTTGCAGATATCGGTGCATTTGTGTTTCCGGACCATACCTGCTCCTCCTCAGTGAGAGGCACCAGTGCCAGTGGCTGCATGGGCTCATCTTGCAGAATAGCAGCAAACTCCTTATCCTGCATGTCCTCTGGGACCTAATAACAACAACAGTAGATGCTTAAGAGGACAAAGACATCTTTCAAGACTTAAACCGTGACTCAGAAAGAAACAAAAAAACAAAAAAAATGTCTGACCTACAAATAGGTTCTCATTTTTGAGGATGAGAACATTTCAAATGGAAGCCAACATAGTTCAAAACAATATACAGCATTATACATGGGGTTGTTTTTTTTTTTTAGAGAATGGTGGATCATTTTCAGCCAACATTGCTGAAATCCGATAGACATGAAACATGACAAAGGTCGAACGGAAATCAGGTTTTTAGAGTTGTCCCCCACTAACCTTGTTGTCTTTGATATAAAGTGCTAACATCTCCTCTCGGCCGTAGCGGTACTCGGCCAGCTTGTACTTTGGCATGGCGGGGGAAGGAGGGGGGGACGTCACACTCCCCCCACTGGACAGTGCACGAAGCCTGTGTGATGAAGAGTAAAAGAGCCATTAAGCTGAGAACAATGCACTTTTAACTTCAACACTTCTTCATAACCGCGACTACTGGTCAATACTGTAACTGGCTAGTCACATGTTTGCAGTGCTTCTTAAAACACAGGAAAAAAATCCCTTATAAATACCTTGACTGGCTGAGAAAACATACAAAAAAAAAACAGAGCTATTGTGTAACCTTGGTAGAATTCCTATTAATTTGAATTGGAAAAAAATAAAAAATCTAATAGCATCCATCTTGCCGCAGAGAAAAAAAAAAAAAAAGAATTTACTAAATGTTCTGTAACAAATCAACAATCCTCCTACGCAGGTCCCCCTGAATACACTTGGCTCAACACAGATGATATATTAGCTTTCCAATCTCAAGATTTCATTTTAAAAAGCTATTACTAGCAGGCCAGCTTCCAAGGCCTGCTGTTTAACAATGGCTCCATTCACATGCCTCTACAAAGTGTGTCATTGACTCACAGCCCCACATCAAAACCATATGCAGTGCAGAGATGCAGAGGTGGGTGTGGGGTGTGAAAGGTAAAGAAAAGCATCATGAAAGACCAGTCAGTAGCAAGTAGCATATCAAAGAGAGTAAAAAATAAGCGGTGCAACGACTAATATACATAATAAGAGAAGAGCTGAGGAAACATTAAAGTGGGTGGGGTACTGAGAAATACTTTTGCACAACTGTATCCATTTCACTGGTATTTACCTTAGAAAATGTTAGTTTCCCACCCTAATAGGACACAGAATGGCATCTCGAATATTTTCCACACACTCCAATCTCTACATTTACGACCCTTTCTGAGAGTCTTACAAAAGATTGGTCTAATAAATGTTACACAAATCTAAACGCGCGGCAGATTGTTTTCACTTTGAATTCTACCACAGTGACTAACATACTCACTGACTGTAGTGCCAAGAAAACCTCAAATGGTCTAAATAATTTTGGAACGTTAACAGCTTTAAAAGACTTGTAAACAAGCTGACCAGACAGCTGTGTGCGGTGAACAAGAGAAACGACCGCTCTGTAGCTATATTAAAAGGGGTACAAGGATGAAAGTGGGCTAGAAAGGGCCACCGAGAGGAAAGCAGCTGCAGATGTGTAAAGAGAGAAATATTCTGCGAGGCTGGCGCTGTACCAAGAATGCACACAGCAGTCGCAGGCCGTTAGAGATGGAGTGCTACCAAACTGGAGACTACGCCCCCCATTAATCGCTACACAAACATTCGCTGACGAGGAGAAGAAACAGCAGAGAGCGATGGACGGAACACTGCGGTGACAATAGCTACATTTTGACTTCAGGTAGAAACTGTCTTGCCACAGTTAGTAATTACAAGAAGAAGGAAAAAAAAAACATAGTCTTGCATATAACACCCTGCTGAACTCTAGACCATCATTGTCACTTCTGTGGATAGTTATGGTGATTTACTAGCACAGTGATGTTGGCTGGACTATTCATCCAGAGCAAAATACATAACAATTACATTCACATCACAGTAATCTCCCACTTATTTTATGACTTTAAGATATTAGGTTTAATACTTTTTTATTTTTTTTGCTTAAACCTTATTCAAACAAGTTGATAGCATATCCATATAGTTGCTAGTTAACCCTCTGAACTCTACATCTAACCTGCAGGTTATGAAATACATGTTACCTCTTAATTAAAAAAAATACACCTTTGATCACAGCAGAAACTGCAAAAAATAAAAACAGCTGTTTGATTTTTAACTTTACTCTTGTGATGTGTGGCTCTGTTGAGAAATGTAACCAAAATCTAAGTGTCCAATCATGATCAGAAAAAATAATCACTTTATTCTCCATTTTATTAAAATGCCTGCTACAAATAATAAACTCTAGGCACTACGCGGCTGAACTTGGCTGAACTGCAGGCTGTGTCTGTACAGAGCACAGAAGAGACAAGTATAGAAACAAATGAAAAATCTAAGTCGTAAAATATCTATAGTATGCACAGCCAACATTTTCTCCAAGAATTTGTAACACCTGGGTAAGTTGAACATGGTGATTCCAGATGTTTTCATTTTTTGAAATGATTTAGGACAGTCTAAATTTTTATATTGCACAAAAGACATTTCTGAGTTCTCTCCACTTGTAGTCATGGGTATGACGTTTCCATAGAGGAGCAGGACTTTACATTGTAGTGAAAAATGAGCCCACGGTGAGCAAAAATTTGACAGGAGCAAAAATTCCTGGAGCTTCAGAGGGTTAATACTCTGTCTAACAACTTATCAATAGATCATTCTAACTCTAATATCCAACAATATGGGCGTTTCATCCGTTTTGTTCCATATTGATGCTTCTGGTTCTCAAAGGTTGAACTGAATTTGGTTAAAAGTTATCTCAAAAGGTCAGACCAAATTCACAATGGACATTATCGTTCCCAGAGAGACTTTGCATCAACCCTCTGATCTTTCCTCGTGCCATCACCAGGCGAAAACAGAGTTTTTCCAGCACAGGACAACTTTTGGAAACCCCCAAACGAGTTTGTTTTAGACAACGGAAACTGACCAACATCAAAATGATAACTAAGAATTAAATTATTTTAACCAGTTTTGTTAATTCAGCTTCCATCTACTCAAGCATAACAAGATATTTTTGTTTATCAAATTGTCAGAAATAACAAGAAATCACACAGATTTCTGTTAAATACGGTAACACAGGCTAACTGCCTTTACTGTACATGGACCAGTTATGATCTGTTGCTGTTATGCATCATCCCCACAAAGGGGGGGCAGGAAAACCCCAGTAGAATGTCCATTTTACACAGGAAATTATCTTGTAATGTAGGCAAATTGCCATGAAAACAAATGGCCACATTTAGGAAGCACATTTGTTAATTAGACATAACAATGGACTGTGTAGATTTAAGCTAAGTTCCTTGAAACCAACAATGAAGACAGGTTCTTAAAATGCAGACAATAATACAAATTATTACACTGCTGCCAAAAATCAGCAGAAAAAGGAACCATGTTAAACGTATGCATTAAGAAGCATTCTGAAACTATGCTGAAATAATGTAAAGAAATGCACTCATTTACCATTCTGGGCCGAAGTTAAGAGTCTCAGCAGTCATATTCCTCACGTCCACACAGAACTGAGTATCTGAAGGGGGAAAAAAAAATGTTTTATTTTCCACAGAAAAGAAATGCAACTTGTTAAATGAGGATGAGTAAAGGGAGTAAATGTTCCTGAAACTTACTTACCCTGTCCAGATAATCGGAGCAGGCTGGACTGGGCTGGACCAGGCTAGAGCTGGCTGGCTTTAGTTAGGCTTAGGTGACTAGAAGGCTGAGTGGTGCTTAAGCTGTGGTCACAGAGCTCCCCAAACACACAGACACAAAGAGAATAGCTGCCAGTTTCAGGTGCTTGAGGAATACCAGGTTATCAGGTCCTAACTAGGTAAAGGAAGGGGTTTCGACGATAGTTTGGAGAATGGAAGCTCCTGCTACTCACAGCCGAAAAAGGTTGTTAAACATAAAAAAAGAAACAAAAAAAAGAACCTTGGAAATTAACGATGGAACAAAATAAAACACTCTTGCTAGTAATAATGTTTTCTTTTTGTTGTTTTTTTTTTTTGTTTTTTGTTTTTTTTTTTTACAGCAGTTATATCTCACATTAAAGTTAAAAATATGAACTGATTCATCAAAAAGGTAACGCAGGAACAAAATAACAGCCAAAACAATGAATCGGGCTGCTGGAACAGCTGCCAAGAGCAGACGCGACTCGGACTCCTCTTCTCCTTTCCCTCTCTCTCTCTCGCTCTGTGCCTTTTTCTCTCGCTCCAACTGAAATGTGGATTGACGGAGACCCTCCAGGTAACTCCTTTATTTCCTGTCCTCCTCCCTTTGCACCACTGGAAAAAGAAGAGATCAAGAGATGGGATCAGAAAAGTCTAACAATTAAAAGAAAAATGGAAAGAGTAACACTTGATAGATAAACGCCTGGTGAAATACATTTTTACAACTTGGCACTTCACCTATATTGTGTGAGGAAAGGAAGTGTGATTTGAATTTTCCGCTGCACAGCCTTGACATACTATTTACACAGTGTACCTTGGACTCATCGTAAGGTACCGGGCCCAGTTTGATCAGCACACTGAGCTGAGAGAAAAGCACTGTGGTATTCCTTCACTGAATAAAAGAAAACTATTTCTAGTCTCGGGCTCAGTCGAGGCCCAACGTTTCTGTTGCTCACAGGAGATTTTCCATCCATAAATGTAGGGAATCTATTTCAGTAATGTTGTGAACCAGCTGCTTCTTAAACCATGCAGCTGGTTGGGGATAGTTCCTGAAAATGTCATGGCAACTGAAACAATATCCAGGCAACTAAACCACCACATACAACGAACATATGATATGAACATTGGTACATTTAGAAAAATTTTCTCTCAAATCACTCTAGCAACGGCAAATAACAAAAGTCATACCAATCTAAACGTGAACCATGCTTTTCTACTTTTACCATCTTAAAGACTGCTTCAATTTGATATTCCATCAGTTCACAGTGCTGCTCTTTAACACACAATCACCAATACACAACATCCCTGCTTGATGAATTCAAGGTGTGCTTTAATACATATTCTTCTAAGAGCAGCTGACATACCATCATATGCAGCCACACTGATAACATGTTTCCCCAAGCACAATCAAGCATTAATTTATGCAGTTGTTCAGTGTTGAGGTGTGAGTCTGTGCTATTTTTTTTCCGTTGTAATACTTATTTTTACACGCTTTTTGATCTTGTTGGGCTTTGCAGGCTAATTAAAGGACAAGAAAAGGCAGTGGAAAAGGTACAACGTTTAAATGAAGACACTCTTTGATCAAGCAAGATGTTAGTAGGACTTTTTCTATGCATAAAACAACTTTCTCAACAACAACAGCACACCACACATTGAGCAGAAAATAGTCAGAACCGCAACTGAACCAGAAAATTGAAAAACTAAGCGTACGTTTACATGATTAAAAATGTCCTTAGGATTAATATTTAGATGGTATCAGAGCACCATCATTTCAAGTGACTGCAATAACACATCACTAGCATATTTTAAGGCCTGTACTCCATGACAATCACAGCTTAAGTTGAAAGCAGTTGCTTGCTTACAGTTGGGTGACATGAGATATATATTTATTTATAATGTGAAAAGATAGAAAATTGTTTACGGCCAGTGATTTTGTGTGCTCGTCTAAGGAGGAGTGCTCGTGTGCAATGTTTCATACCTAATGGCTATAATGGGCTTGCAGGATTATAGCATTAATGGGATAACATACGTGATTCAGAAATTTCAGGTACCTCAGGCATCAATATAAGATCTGCACTGCTTGTCTATACTATTGAGGCTTAGCCATTGGCACTTTTTAAAAACCTCAGAAACTGCAGATTTTAAATGTGAACAGAACAATTCTTGTGTTTGCTTTGCTTAACTCATAATAATTTCTCAATGAAAGCGTGGTGCTCACTGGCTTTGTGATATATCTGCATTTTATAGTTTTACTATTTTTACATTACATTGTTTGTTTTTTTTAAAAAATCAAATCTAAATCAACACAATAGCATTTTCCTAAACTGCTGTGAATTAAGCTGGCAGTGTTTGGCAGTATTTGATAGTCTAGCTTGCAAGGAGCTCAAAGGACATTTGGTAACATAATTAATAACATTGCAATATACCAAATGTTTAAGACAACGGACAAGTGGGAAAGTGATACTGACAGGTCCAGCTTGCATTCCAATGCACTGTGGATATAAATTATTAATTTTTCTTTTAGTTTGATCTGCTGGAGGTACAGCTGAAGCTATGTGTTTGCAAACTGACGGTATGTCAACATACACAGTCACTTAAGACACAAAAAGGTGGTAAACTTGAAAGATTAGGTTCTTTGAAGAAAAAAAAACATAACATTAGCATTTGGGCAGCACATTATATTGTTTCAGCACATGCAATAATGACTTAAGCAAAACTTATAGTAAGAAAAATTAACTAAAACAAATGGTACAGTGTTAGAGTGTTTTGTTTTGGGGGGGGGGGTGCTGCTTGATACAAAAAGAAAGCTCTGACAGAACATAATTTACTCTAAATTACGTGTTTTTGAATATACATGGAGTTGTTTGTTGTTGTTTTTTTAAAACTTTATTCACAAGGAATAGAGTTTGTTGAAATGCAGGCTGCACATGAGCACTGTGAAATGAGTAAGGAGCAGAAGAGAAACACTGAAAAACAGTATTTGGTTGGAAACAGAACCACAATTTTTTTGGAAATATTCCAGCAACAGAAAGGATGATGTTGAGGAATTGCTGCCACCACGTGAGCAACACAACTAATTTGTTTGACCATTTAAATCAGTACCTCAAAGCTCTTTATGACCAGTGCAAAGCAAGATCTGAAAGCCTCCCAAAGCAAAATAAATAAAAAATACTTTGAATAAATTTGCCACTGTTGCACCATACGAGAAAGGTTCCTAATAGCTTTTTTTTCCTGCTTTTATTCATAGATTTTTTTATTTTCTTTGCAAATGCTCTCTCCTACTCAATCACCCTAATCAGTAAATCTTACTGATGCTATTTTGTAGCCATCTAGCAAAATTCCTGTATTTATTCACATTGCAATATATATCACAATAAAACAAAATGTCAATGTCAGTTTTTTTTCCAATGTTAGGATCTCCTTGTGACACACAAACTACATCAAGATGAGCTAACATTTAGCAAAATATACAGCGGGTATGTAAACAATTTCACATATAACAACAAATAAAACAAGCTTTAATCTAAACATCTGTAGTATACTTGAGGTTATTTTAGTTTCCAAACTATTTCATTACTGAACTGTAGAGGACATTAGGCAAAGAGTTGACATTTTTAGTGTCTAGTACTAACTTTGCACTGAGAAAACCAAAGCAAGGTCACGAAAGAAAAAGGCTGCTTGCAGAATATGAAATATCTGGTGCATTTGAATATTTGCAAATGTTATGCGCTTGAAAACGTGGCGAGATTTTTCTTTTTTTTATAAATTAAAAAATCAAGATGCAGGAATTGCGACTGTAAATCTATGCCACAACTAGCTTCCAGCACACACCAATTTATAACTTTAACACAACGAACAACGCCAAACTGTTTAGTAGTAAAGGCGGCTAACATTTGGAGAGAATAGCTCCAGTTGACATTAGCTTCCGTTAGTGGTTGCGAGCTACATTAGCTATACATTGTTCGTCTTCCAAGCTAATTACGGCACATCAAATTGAGAGAAAAGTACTACAAATCAATCGCTACAACATTATTTGCTCCCAAAATATCATATTTCCGCTGCATAACAGAGATGGCTAGCTAGCTACCCTAGCACAAGGTATGCGTTGATCGTAAAGGCCTTGGCTTGTAGGTTCAAATGACACCAGATATGATGGCGGAGGGGGGCGGAGTGTTGGGATCAGACTCCCCGGCCTGCTCCGCCAATGTGCGGACGACCACCTCCACTCCGCTGTCGGTTACAAGCTACGGCTAGCGCGTTGTAAACAAAACACATAAACGGCAGAAAACAACAGAGTTTAAACTGTAAAACAACTTAGCGAAAATGCTGATTTCACGACATATTAGAAACATTTTTTTCACAAAATCCAACCCATTCGGGCTGCGAGAGCCGAGGTTAGCTTGTTAGCTCGCGTTAGCCACCTAGCCAAAAGACAAGCTGCAAAGAGGAACCATGGCTTACCTTCACTGTTTATAGCTACCAGACTGCTTGTCTGCACGGTGCGTCTACAGCCACTATATCGTATGCATTGGTCTCTTTAAACACTGTAAACGTATTCATTCGACAGAATAGTACTTTCAGAAAGTCGTGCTCTGTGTTTTATTTATTAATTTTTCCCTCTCCTCCAACGGTCGCTGCTGCGTATCAGTGTGTGTGTCTGCTGGCTCCCAGTCGCTGCTCTTCTTGTTGTTTGTGTTTCGGAAACATGGCCGTCCGTGTGACACCACGTGACTGGACATTGACAAGCGGCTAACCAATGTTGTAGCAGAGCAAACACACCCCTATTTACCAGCCCGGACACCGACGGACACCGCACGCATTATCGAAAGCACAGAGTCGGGGTTTAATTAGCCCGCAAGCTGAGGAGAGACGATTAATTCAGCATGTAGTTATATCAGAATAAGGGCATGCATCGGAAAGAGTCGGCGCAAAACCACAGACTGCACAGCCCCGTTCACACGTACACTCCTCTCTGTTGCTCCTCTCTGTTAATCTGAACGGCTTCACATTTGAATGAACGCCGTTCTCAGTTTTCCGTAAATCTTTGCCAATGTCGGACATTTCCGTGTCACTTTCAACACAAGTCTGCACATCAACACAGAAGCACAACCGGTTTCTGGAGTCGTGTGAAGCAATGTGAGGAAGGATTTTCCACATTTTACCAATATTGTTCCAAAAGCCTCAACAGAGAGGGTTCATGTGCAGTTTTTGTGCCAAAACCAACTCTGCTTTACAACTTCACATCTTTTACAAACTGAAATTCACATTAAAAATTAAAAAAAAAAAATGTTTTTACTGCAGTGAAAACAGGCACCAAGAGCATAATGATAGCAAAAATGTATGTAATCTGGTTTTTATTATCCAAGATGTTAACAGAAGCTGAAGTTTCTTGCTTCCAGCTGTTTGTAGGATTCTTTCCTCCAGTTTAATTAAATACATGCAATTGTCTGCATGATCCATATGTGTGCATTGGCCCACATAGAGCAGCAGAGTTAGTAACTTCATACTCATTACTTAGAATTCTAAATTATCCCGGGACATGGAGACAGGTTTGATCAGGAGCCAACAGCAGGTCACACTCTTTAGCAGCCATCATGTTGAGTCCTGAGCTCCATCATAGCTGTCGAAATAGTCTTACTGTACTTCGATCATCATGACACACGGAGAGAGTTTTCAGTGATTTTGGGAAATCATATATAAACCAAACAATCAACTGGGACAGTCTGTTAAGTTTTCTGTCACTTCGATTTAGTTTTTTGTTTATTAGCGCATTATTGTGTTAATAGGTAAAGCTGACTTATTTTCCCCAAGTTAAGTTTCCCACTTATGAGATGACTTTTTTATCAGCTGAGTTCTGTTGTCTCAAATTTACAGGCAGCAGGGGAGTTTACCTTTCAAAGCTAAATGAGCTTAAAATGATTTACAATGCAGGCGTATATGTGCACATAGCGCTGTGGCTTAAATGGGGTCGTTCTTCAAATATTGAAAACATATATGAAAAAAAATACGAATGCAACTATGTCATGCACTCTTGAAATGGTGTGTGAAAGAAATGAGGAAACAGTGCAGATATATTTCAAAATCTTCTTTTGAGATTGCAGGTGTGTAATATCTTTTGTATATCTGAAAATAAGGACCACAGAAATGACACATTCGGTATTAATACAAAAAAGATGGCAACAAAAAAAAAAGTGTGTGTTTTGTTGGATTTTGAAAAACCAAAGAATCTGAATGCGATCAGTAAAACACACCATTTGGAGAGAGATTTAGCAAAACGATCTCAGTTTTGCCCTGATCAAACAAGCTGAATAAAAGAAGTCAATCTAAACAATATTAACGTCACAAATAAAATTAAAGCAAAATAGTTCCATAAAAAAATCAACTCTAACTTTACATTTACATTTAACTGGGATGTTTTAATCAGAATAAATAGAAAGTAAAAGTGGTGAATATGAACTGGATTTAAAATGTAAGTTGTAGTTTCTCAAAATGACCACTAGAGGGAATCAAACACATCATTTATTTATTTATTTATTTGTATCTTTGACGACTGAACGGCTGCAGAAAACTACCAGAGAACATTTTATAGGACTGAAACTTCATTTTCTTAGAGAGCATTCATATTGAATGCACAAGATTTACCCTGGAATGTATGAACTACAAATGCTTTTTAGTAATCTACAAAGAGAAAATACATGAATACAAAAAAAAAACATTAAAAACAGGAGATGATAGATCAAGCATTGACATCTACTCATATTGTTTGTGTGCAATGTGAAGGCGTTAGTTACAATTAAGTGTAAAATCTGCACTTGTCACAATGAAATTAGGTGTAAAACCCATATTTCTAATTTTACTTGAATGTACCTGTAATGTTCTTTTTATGTCTTTTCCTTTTTATGTGTTCTTTTTGCACAATGTGAAGATAATTACGAAGTGTATGCTCCCTGGTTCCACTGTTCTCATGAAATAAAAAAAGAGTGATATAAAAATTGAAAATGTTGAAGTAGCAATAGGGACAAGGACATTCTGACTTCATGCGTGGAAGGTCTTTGATGTTGTAAATACGATATGCAATAGAAATTGTAATAAGTTGCTTCATTGAATCAAATAAAACTAACATTTACACCCTAAAAAAAGCAGAAAAAGGCTTAAAAAGAGCAAAGATCTGAAATTGGGATAAATTTTAGTTTATACACAACAGCTGTTTATCTGCTCAAAGAAATTACGGCCAAACTGAAGTCACACATCATATTTTGATGAACGAAATATTCAAGTTAAAAATCCTCATCGATATGCATTGTGTAATTTATTGAGAACCAAATAACCTTAAGACCGTCAGTGGAAACCAAAATCATCAACCCACTGATGGCTGGATTCAAAATGCCGAAAATAAGGAAAATCCTAGGCTGATCCAACTTGTGTGAATTTCATCACGACAGCTCATAATGTGGCTCATTAGTGGCTCACAGTTATGCTGCTGCATTTCTGGTTGCAGGGTTCTACTCTGTAGTCATGTGCTGGTGCACGCGTTTGGATCAGAATCTGGATCCAAAGACAAGGCCTTCCTGAGCCATTAATGGCGTCCTGTCTCTCCATCTATCAGAGTGAAGTGACTGGAGATATGTGTTTGGTTTGTGCTGTTCTCTCACCATTTGCTAGTGGATGTGGTTTGTTTTTGTTTTTTTTTTAAAGGCCAAATCTGCTCTTTTTGCCAACACCATAAGAATCAGAACCATTATTAGAGGGGTGGTGGTTTGCTGATTGAGAGAGACAGTTGAAACCAGAAGTTTACATACGCTGTGTAAAAAAGACATACAACATTTTTTTCTCTCACTATCTGACATTAAATCAGACTAAACGTTTTCTGTGTTAGGTCAGTTAGGATTACCAAAATTATTTCTATTTGCAAAATGCAAGAATAATGAGAGAGATTTTTTTAGAATTTTTTTTTTTTACTACTTTCTTTTACATACATTTCCTTAGTACTTGGTAGCATTGCCTTTAAAAGGTATGACTTGGGTCAAATGTTTTGGTATCCTTCCACAAGCTTCTCACAACAGTTTGATAGAGTATTGGCCCATTCTTCCTGATAGAACTGGTGTAAGTGAGTCAGGTTTATAAGCTGCCTTGCTCGCACACGTCTTTTCAGCTCTGCCCACAAATTTTTTCACAGGATTGAGATCAGGGCTTTGTGATGGTCACTCCAAAACATTGACTTTGTTGTCCTCGAGCCACTTTCTAACTAATTTGGCGGTATGCTCAGGGTCATCGTCCATTTGGAAGACCCATTTGCACCCAAGCTTTAACTTCCTGGCTAATGTCTGGGGATGTTGCTTCAATATTTCCACATAATCTTCTTTCCTCATGATGCCATCTATTTTGTAAAGAGCACCAGTCCCTCCTGCACCAAAACATCCCCACAAAATGAATACAAAAAGGTTTGTTAAGATTGCTTATTTAGTAAAAGCCCTAAATCTCAGGAGGAGAAGCAAAAAGGGTCCTACGCATGAACTTTTCCTCATACAGGGCACCACCTACATCATGAAGCACCTGAAGGGACCCCCCGAGCTGATCACCAAGAGAACATTCTCCTCATGTACATCTCCTCTGATGACAATGTAGTGGCAGTTCCTCTTTCTAGAGTCTTTGAGGAAGTGGGTGTTCCTCCTTTGCTCTCTGATGGTAAAGAAGCTCTTGCCGAGGAGGATGACAGTGTAGGGATCCCTCCTTTCTCCTCTGAGGACAGGTTTGAAGACGATACGGAGGACGATGAGGAGACAGATGATAGTGATGACTCGTCAGATGGTGATAAGTTTTCTGACTGAGCCAGTGATGACTCTGAGAGCCCGTTATCTGAGAAAAGAGATGAGTCTGATAGGGAGGACGTGTTTTACAGCGGCGAGGCAAGGCTTGTTTTATTCATGTATTTCATGTTCTTACTGCTTGTTAATTACTAAAAGGTAAGGTAATAAATACATTCACAAGAAAGTTCAACCCCTTAGTGTATCTGTAAGACTTTAAAGCAGGTTTAAACCTATAAAACTATTTTTCTGTTATCCTCTGTGGCAATGATGCAAACTGTATTGTATTATCATTATTTAAATATGCAATATGTCAGCAACTCTTGCTCACTTTTCATACCTTTAAAGTTACCAGATATTAATCTGATTATTTCATACAAGTCAATGTAATTGAAAGTGCTTTATAAATTACTGAGAAACTCAAAGAATGGGAAGAAGTGATTAAGGGGCATTAGCAGTGCATGTTGGAACTGCAGATATAAACAGTCCAACTAGCATGACTATTACAACTGACATTCCCAGTAACAGTCACTCCTACCTGTGTCTTCGTCAATGGACATGGAGTTGTAGTGACTCAAAATGAGCACAAGAGGGAAACAAATACTCTTCCATTTGCCTATCTGATTATGTTTTGTAACTTTGATGGTTCAATAACTACTGAAAACATCCATCCATCCATCCATCCATCCATTATCTATACACCGCTTAATCCTCACTAGGGTCACGGGGGGCTGGAGTCTATCCCAGCCGACTTCGGGCAAAGGCAGGGGACACCCTGGACAGGTCGCCAGTCTATCACAGGGCTACACTTAGAGACAGACAACCAAGCACACTCACATTCACACCTACGGACAATTTAGAATCACCAATTAACCTCAACATGTTTTTGGACTGTGGGAGGAAGCCGGAGAACCCGGAGAGAACCCGTGCTGCACGGGCTACTGAAAACAACACAGAAAAAATATATAGGTTTGTAGTGATACAGATGCAGATTTTACACACAGCACCTCATAATCTGCTAGCATTCAGGCACATAGTTCAGGCCTGAGATCAGAATGACAGAATTGTGACGGTGTGTCTAAAGTTTTACTGGTTCAACAGGATTACTAATTATGGAGGGTAACCCGAAAAAAATAGAGCCAGAGTTACAACTTTAAAAAGAGATTAGATCCTGAGAAATCCAAGAACTCCTTGGACTCCCCATCAACAAAATGTATGTCCCAAGAAAAAACAAAATATGTATATAGCCCTATAACCCCCATATAGTTTCTACTGCCACAGATGGTTCAACACAGCAGGGTCTTATGTTGCAAAGGCAAGATATAGATTCGAACGTATGTGCACTAGTTCATTGCATTAAATGAGAAAAACGCAATGAGAACAGAAGTAATTATGTTAGTAAATGAACACAGTCTAATAGATACTGGTGTGGAGATGCATGACTGCACAGAAATTGTTTGCTCAGATAAGTAAACTACTCAGCCAGTAGATCCACACTGAGTCACTGCTGATTTGCATGCTCAGTCTGTTTCCAACTGCCAGCATACTGTACTAGACTCATGAGGGCAATACGAATACAGGATGAGACATTCAATAGAGCAAGCCTCATGATGGAATTTCTTCATTCATATCAACGTGTGAAAGGCATGTCAAGCATGTATGGTAAGGAAAAATACCAGTTGGTTTTTCCAGCTGCATCAGGTGTGTGAGGATGCATCTGTTGGGCACCTGCATCCTGTCCTTCTCTCTACTAGCGGTGCCCCACCTGGTGAGCACCACCGTGTCAAGCAACTTCAAAGACTGCAGCCATTTTTTCTACATGCAGACACCACCTGCAGGGATCAGAGGGACGAGCCTGAAGAGGATCTGCCAGAAGTATGCTGACAAACTGCGCTACGCCACATTGTATGACAGCAGTCGCCGTCTGCCTCTGTACTCAGCCTACATCTTTAAGAAGTCTGATGGGAAGAGGAGGATGGACACACCCTGGATGTATGAGCCTCAGGTAGAGAGAGCAGCACAGTTTGTGAATATTTTTGCACAATCATGACATAATGTCCAACAATGTTAGCTATTGTAAAAACTCTGCTAGTATATTACTTGTGTTGCCTTTGTGGTGATGCTCGATCAGGATGATTGTTACTAAATACCCAACAGCACAAACTTAAGAAGTGTACACACTCATTTGCTTTCTTGCTGTTAGATTTGACATCACCTCGATGTGTGAATATGTAGCAACCAGTTTGCATAGCTTCCAAAATTATTTGGGCCCATAATGACCCAAATGCAAGAAATAACTCAGGCCAAATACGGTGTTAATGATGCTCCGACAAGAAGTCTGATCAAAGTCTGGGAACTGAATCTGAGCCAGGTCTGTATTTTGCCCAAAATTTGGTTCACATGGTCCATAATCTTTCCGAATGTGCCAAATCTCAACCAAAAATGGCCCAAATCCACACATCCAAGTGTGTCAATATTAGTCTTAATCAGCTTGCTCCACCGGCTCCCTGGATGACAATTGAACACGTTGATCCTAGGGTGACATAATCCGTCTTGTAGCACTGTTAAAATTGACTAACTGACCATACAGAAATTAAAGTAGCAACATTTTCATCTCACTTTCAGCAAGAACACAAATAAGCATTTTTCTGAAAATTATGAATCCCTTTAAGCTTTAAAAATGTTACAAGGACCATTTTTTCAAAATCATCACGACTTCGTTAAGAAAATTCAAAACTATCTGCCTAAACACAAACTTGCAGCTGCAAAAATAAGCGCTAGCTGGAATTTGTTGAATGGAATCCTATGGCAAGCTGAAACTACCTTTGTGGCCGTTCATCTTAAGTTTTTAAGGCACTGGTTTAAGTGTTTTGGCTTGGAATGTGGAATTCTCAAAATGATAAACACCACATTTCTTTGATTTTGTTTCCCTACAGTTGGTTTCTGATGATGACAGTGGTAACATGCGGGAAATTCCCCTGAGTGAAGACACACCTCCTCTGATCGAGGATAGCCAGGCTGTGCTGGAGGACTACACGGATGCTGTAGAATATAAACGTGGTCCGCTAAATCCTGATCTGCACCAAGCAGAGCCAGATGACAAATCTTCCACCTATACCCTGACCAACGTAGTTCCAATGATCAGCGACTTTCTGCACATCTCTTGGAACCCCTACTTGGATATCATCCGCCGTCGCCTCAACAACTTCTGCCATGGCAGAGCTTTCATGGTAACAGGGGTGACTGTTTCAGGGGCCACCATCCAGCGAGATAAGAGGGACCGCCTGACAATCCCAAAACACCTATGGCTGGCATACTGCTGTCCATGGTTTGACCGTAACTCACCATATGAAGTGAGGTTTATGTTCCCTAGTTATGGGGGCTACGCACTGAATGGACAGACTGGTCACAGTGTGGTGGAAGTACCTCTAAAGACTCTGGAGAGTTATCTGAAGAGTCAGGCAGCCATAGACAGTGACATGACTATTTTCTACAAGGGCTGTGTGTCAGAAAACCCATTAAAGAAGAAAAGGAGCGACCTGAGTGTTTCAGCATGAAGGGACATCTTGAACAGGATGAAGCAGTTTTTGCAATGTGACAGGGTGCATAAAGTAACATCCACCAACATCCTCAAGGTCTCCCAAGAGAACATTGAATTGTACTATGTACTGTATGCCTACGCACACAAATCAAGCTCCACTGTATAGGTACAGTGCCTATAAAAAGCATTCACCTCCCTTTGAAGTCATTCCCTTTTATTGCTTTTTTTTAACATGAAATAATCAATAAGGCTTTTTTGACAAGAGGCTACCCCCCCAAAAAAGACATGTCAAAGTGAAATCAGAGTCCTATATAGTCATGTCAATCAATTTAAAATACAATGACAAGTAAAATGAATGATTGCATAAGTTCCTACCCCATCAAGCCAATATTTTGTAGATGCACATAGCTGCTGGTGACAGTAACTGTTAATCAAGACCAGTATTTGAAACCGATATACATTAAATGTTGTATTTTAACAGTATTTCATAGCAGGGAACATGTCATTCATAACGAGCCTCTTTCATGAAAAAGGGCTACAATAGCTGAATGATAGAAATAGAAGTGATTGTGTCAGAGCATCACGGGATGCTAGGACGCTCTCCTTTGTTTACTGTGAGATTGAGAACCGTCTTCTGCAGTTATGTCTGCTTTTCTTTTCTATTTTCCTGTTCTTTTGCTGTTCTATTGCCTTTATTGCTCACTGAGTCTCATATCTACAATTATCATTTGTTATTGTTTTGCAGACACTGTTTCAGGGAAATCAAATTAATAATTATTATTAAAATAATTTAATTCTCCTATAATGAGTTGTAAGTTGCATTTTTTTAGATGTTCATTTCAAATGTAGGACTAAAAATCAAATTAGCAACTACTAAGAAGTTTATATGACAACAAATTAAAAGCTAAATACAGTCATGAAAGTCTTGATAAGATGCCACTGTTGTAGTTTTAGCAAATACAATGTGGAGCCAGCTAAACTGTGACCAGCACCAGTCAGACTGGGCAGACATACTCTGAACAATGTTTGCCTAGATATAGATTTTTCGAACATTCTAAGCTCTTTATTTTTGGCTACATATCTTCTGAGGTTCTGGATATGTAAAACTGGATTAAATACTATGGGTCGTATGACACTGTGTCAATGACAGCTGATTGACTGCATCTAAACATTTAGCCAGCCAAATGCTAGCCCATTTTTGACTCCTCTACGTCTTATAAACTCAAGAATAGGTTCATATTATTTGTAGTTTATTGCCTCAGTGCTACAGCAAACTTTTAAAATGTTATTGCTGTCCTGTGGAATTAGCTGTTGGCTTCGTCTTTAGGACACCTACACTGCATTTGAATGTATTCTCCTCTACATTCATAGGAACCAGTTCAAATGTTGCATAACCCCGTCCCCTCACTGCCAGCTGCTTCCAGAGTCACTACCCAGAATGAGCGGTCCAATGCGTCCGTTGACTTTCTGGTGCTGCTTCTGCAAACTGTAAAATGTCTCAGCCACAAGCAAAACACATCAAATGTTCTGTTGTTGACTGCAAGAGTGAACACAAGAGTCTTCATGCACTCCCTCCATCCGAGGAACTGAAGAACCAGTAGATTACTTTTATTATTGATGGCAAATCACCATGATAATATGAAACCCCGTAAGTATGCTGTGCAGCAATTGCAGCTAATGTTACCTTTAGTTTTAATCATGTACCTACAGGTCAGAGGTCTGTGGAAATTGTAACACTAAGGGACACTCCGAAATGGTGCAACAACCAATTGCGAAACAATAATCAAGAATTGGATGGGTTACTGTGTTTTCATATCAGCTGGTGTGCATCAGTGCAACCTAAACTCACCTGTGTCAGCACTTTACATCGGTTGTCGCCTTTCCTACTCTCTGTGCTCACTTATACTGCACTTTAATACAGCTGAATTCCCAATAAAGCTGTTTCTCATTTGCATATTTCTGTTTCTGCTGTGAAATAATGGAACACGGATTAAATAGTGACTGAAGTGCAACCCATTCAGACTACATGTTGAGTAACCGTCATGTCCTAGCCAGTTCCAGAGCTGCAGCTCTCCACTGCTGAACGACTGATTTTATAACCACAACATTGTCTAAGAAACTCACCATAAACAGCAATAGTACAGCCACATTTAAAGCTACAAACATTAAAACAGCCCATTTAGTACAGGGCTCCAGCAGGAGGTTGTACAGTCATAGTAAAATGAACTAACTTTGCAGTACTGAAAAACTGAAAGACACATTCTGGGGAGTAATTTGCTGAAAAATGTCACAAAATGGGACCTTTAAATGAATGAGTGAAGTGTTTCACTATGCTTGCAATTCAGCATTACACACAGCAGCCTTCAAAAACCCTCAGAACTTTAGAGTTGTATGTAAAATTTGAGGACTGCTTGGCCTGAGTTGATCGTTTTACAGAGGTAAGATGGCCTTTTTCTACCTTCTTCCCCATGAATAGGAAACATACTGAAGCATTTGCTATTGGCTATTTAGTTCCCATGTTCCTTTTGCTGTGGGTGGAGCTGCTGAGGTGTAAGAAGTCCATTGCTTTGCATACTGAGTCCTGATTACAGAGAGAGCAGAGTGTGACACCTGTGTGAGCTTTTTTTAACTGAGCTCCACCGACAGATACGGAGACAATTATTTGTAGAAGACCTTAGAAGTATACCTGAAAAGCCTGAGTGACATCAGACACCTCGTAACTATGGCATTTTGGGTACAGATAGGATTCCTGCTTGTCAGTATAATGTCAATAGCAGTAAGAGGGAGAGTGGAAAAAGAGCTGTCTCCAGAGTGCAGAGAATTCCTCTACAGGGGAACACCACCAACAGGACTGGAACACCACTCCCTCCAGTTCATTTGCCAGCGTTACAACAAGAAGCCACGCTACGTGACTCTGTACAACACTAAGGACCATATACCTATCTACTCTGCCTACACCTTTAAACGCTCAGATGGGGAGAAATGTGTGGATGTCCCATGGATGTATGAACCTCAGGTAAAGAAATTTGATGCATTTGCACATGTGCAGCATCCAGAATCGTTGAAATTCTGTACTGTAACATTTTAATTCTTTTGCAAATGCTTCATTTTATGCAGATGTTGTGTAATCATATTTAGACCTGCTCATTCTGTCATTTGCCCCGGGTCTGTCTTTCTGCACAGCTATCCACACCATCTGATACAGATGAGATGCAGCCTTTTCCACGTGGTTACATGCACATGAATTTTGAAGACGCCCAAGCTGTTCTGGATGATTATACGAATGCCATCCTTTACGAACGGGGCACCCTCAACCCGGACGAGCATCAGGATGAACCTGACGACAAGGCCTCCACCTACACCCTCACAAATGTCGTACCCATGGTGCCCGGCTTCAACAACGGAGTCTGGAACAAACAGGAGCACATCATCCGCAAACGACTCAACAACTACTGCCATGGAATAGCTTACGTTGTCACCGGTGTCATCACCTCGGGTAAGATGATCAGCCGGGAAAACATGAAACGCATTGCGGTTCCCACCTACGTGTGGTCGGCTTATTGCTGTGTTGACTACGATCACAACACACCTTATAATGAGCGCTTCAGGCTCCCATCTTTTGCTCACTATGGACTCAATGAGGAAGACAACAACGGGGTGGTGGAAATGTCTGTCCAGAAGCTTGAAGAGTTCCTCAAGAAGACCACCTTTGTAAACCAGAACTTTCAGATCTTTGTAGATGACTGTGTCCCACCAGCATCCAGTAGAATTGAACAGAGAAATATTTAGGTATAAGGTAGCTAGCTATGTGTCTATGTAAGAATAAAAGCCCAGATGTTACTGATATCACTAAAAATAGTGTTCAAGTGAACCATGACAGTGAGAAGTGAGCCAGCATGCATAACACCAGGATCCATAAACTAAAGCACCTAAATGGAAATGAGCCATAATTTATTTTATTATCTACATCTGGGCATTTTCCACTGTGGCACAGCAACATGTCTGCTGTGAAAAAGGTACAGAACCTACAGACTATTTTCACTGGAGACATTTTGATATGCCAAAGCAGGAAAAGCTTAGGTAAAACAAATTTCATTGCAGTGACTCAGTTTCAGAAAGGAACAGTTTATGATCTCTCAGAACTGGGTCATGAGATGTGCAGACGTTGGAAATTAAGAGTGTTTTCTAGTTATTCAGAACAACCAGATTGGAAGGTGGAGTAAAAAAGTTGACCATCACAGTTCCTTGCAGGATAGAACTTGTTTGTCTTGTGCTTGTTCTCTCCTCCTCTTCCCCGACAAGCGTTTTCTTAAACTTGTCAGGATGGCATTGTAAATTGTTTGTAACATCTTGCCTAGTAAAATAAAGATTAAATGGAAAAAAAAATCAAAAATCAAAACAACAGTTGCATGCACAGTGCGACAACTGTATAATTGGCCTATTTTGAATGAGATTGTTTTTAATGTTATCAGTTACACCTGTGTCTTTCCTGGTAAGACATGTCCAAATGCCTGCTGTGAAAAAGGTCAACCGGAAGTGCACTGTTGCAAAAATGGGGGGAAAAAGTCCGCTAATATAACATTCAGTGTCTAGTCACACTTACAATGTAACAAAAATGTACCTTCTTTGTCTGTTTCGCAGTAAAAAAATATATCTAAATATTACATGAAACTGTCTCTGACGCTTTATTTCTGACATTGAAAAAAAAAAAACGTATACTTAATTCTCACAGAAACTCGTAAGCAGATTTCCATATGAAATCAACAATAAAGTATTAAAACAAATTTTTTTTAAATGGGCTTCTCTGTATTGATTTCATTTGTCTGTTTTCCACAACTGAAATGTGCAAGTTGTTCTATAGTGGTTCGAACCTCTTTTAGGGCTGTTTTTGGGGAAGAAAAAGTGTTGATTCCAGGGTCACTTAGTGGTCCTGAAAAACTGCTTTGTGGGTGTTAAAGCTGACAGGTTAACTCGGAGGAAACAAGTGCCATTTTTCTGCCCTCAGTAGCAGTAGCCACCTTCAAACCTTAACATACAAGCTAACATAACAAATCGTCATTGATGTATTTCCTACATGGTCATAGAACTGGCCGCACAGAACTAAGAACAGAACTGAGAGTCAACAGTTGTAGCTGTAGATGGCTTCATAATAAGAGAAACAGAACGGGCAGAGTATGGGGCCATTCCTGTAAACATATGCGCCACCTTGCATCTCCTTTACGTTCCTGCAATGGAAATCTGACTAATGTTTTCACCTTTAATTTCTATCACATCTATGTTTTTTCATTGTGTGAAGCTTGAAATTTGTGGCCATTTTGGTGTATAAGATCTATAAAATACAAGTATGCATATTATGGCAAGAGAGAGCTTTAAGATGGTCTGTAGAAATTCTATACTTGTCTTTTTCCCCGTCAAAGTAAAAAGAAGACGTGTGGACTTTCTGTTCTCTGACAAATATCTCACTTTTACTCTTGGAATTAAAGAAATCAAAAAGAAAACCCCTGAACGCAAATATGCCATCACGACGAGTGCACAACATCAGGTCGGTGCCATTTTTTCCTTTTCTGTTCACACTGATAAAATACTCTCAACGACTGATAACATTCACGGCTTTTGACTAGCTGCTACGACACTTGTGACGATTTGAATAAATGGAAAAGACTATACAATGGGAGATCAGTTTGCTTGAAGGTCAGAAGGGAAATGTTGAAGGCGATAGAGCCGGGACAGAGGCTGCAGTTGTTACACAGCAGTGGAAGAATCACAAGCAGGAGCAGAGAGGTTTAAAACGGACATAAAAAGACTGAGAAACTAGAGCTGCAGTGATGATTCCTACATCTGCAAACTGTGCTTTACCCCTGGCAGCTGTTCTGACTGTGCTGACCTCTGTGTTGCTACTCGAGGCCGAGGCTGGAGTGGTTGGAGACTTCAACCATGTGGAGCGCTGCAAGGACTCTCTGTACATGGGCACTCCACCACGAGGATACCTCAGCAACTCGTTTAGGAAGATCTGCCAGAAGTATGAGGACAAACCCCGGTACGTCACGCTGTACGACTCCCATAGACACGTCCCCATCTACTCTGCCTACACGTTCAAGAAGTCTGACGGGGAGAAGAAGGTGGACTTTCCTTGGATGTTTGAGCCTCAGGTGAGTGCGAATGCTAGTATAGAGTCACTAAAAGTCAATCAAAATCCAATGGGCGCCTGTGCACAAAGTTATCTTGCATTGCAACATGTCACAGTTTCATAATTTACTACATCTAGTTGTATGCATTCATCAAGAGTGTCCATCTTTGGACACACATTACAAATATCAATACATTTCATATTTAGACACCTATAAGCAGTTTAAAGAGTTGGAGCAACTATGCTACTGTTGCTAAGCGTGCAAGCATGAGATAAGCTACTTTATTTCTGTGAATGGTATTTCAGTGAGCTAGTGTTGACTTTACCACTTAGTACATAGTTATGCATTTTATTAAATTTTTTTGCAATACTGTGCCTGTTTCTTCTCTCTCTCCTTCTACAGTTGGCTTCAGAAAAGAGCAGCAGCAACATGGAGCCCTTCCCCCAGTCTCCAAGCATGCATATGAACTTTGAGGACACCCAGGCCGTCCTGGAGGACTATGCCGACGTGGTTCAGTACGAACGCGGCCAACTCAATCCCGACGAGCATCAGGCCGACCCTCTGGACAAAGCCTCCACCTACAGCTTGACCAATGTGGTACCTCAGATCAGGGAGTTCAATTTGGGTCCCTGGGCCGAACACCAGGACCTCATCCGCAAACGCCTCAACAACTACTGCAGAGGCAAAGCCTTTGTGGTCACTGGAGTCACCACTTCAGGCCACACGATCCGTCGCAACAACCTGGACCGGGTGGCTGTACCAGAGTACATGTGGTCAGCCTACTGCTGCACCGAATTTGACCAGAATGCACCATACTTTGTGCGTTACAAGTTCCCTGTATTTGGAGCTTATGGGCTGAATGACCGCATCAACAACCACATGGTGGAAGTTCCTCTAAAAAACCTGGAGAAATTCCTCAAGGGGAGACTGGATGTAGACAAGAACTTCCAGATTTTCTATAATGATTGTGTGCCAGACAGCTGAGGAAGAGTTGAAGGTGTGTCAGAGATTCAGCACTTGATTGTAGAAAGGTTTGAGTTACTTGCAGTTTGAATTTGCATGGAAATAAGATGTGCTAATGTGTGTCAAATTAGATGATACATTGCAAGAAATAAAAATGTGAAATTGAGTCTCTCCTTTCTTGATTCATCTTTGGGTCTGAAAAATCTCAAGAATGATTTTTTAAAAAGTTAGTCATAATATTCCAAAAACTGAAGCAGACATCTGCAAATTGCTTTTGTATAAACAACAGTAGAAAATAAACAAACCAAAAAAGCAGAGAGTACAGATTTTCACACGTGCGATGCTAAAGTCACAGAATTATTGGCATTTTTGATAAATTCACATAATATTCACAGCATTGACAGTATAAAGCATTGCAACTGCTTTCACTGAAACATTTATGCCCTAATTATGTCTAATCTAGAATTTTAATTATGAAACTTCATTTGCATGTGCAGATCACAGTCAGAGTCGGATATCACTCATGATCGTCTGATGTGATCTCCGCAGAGATTTCAATTGAGGTATAAAGAAGTCACAGCACATAACTTCAATGATTCTGTTCTTTAATGAGTTCAGCCACAGGATGGCACTGCAGCTCCTTTTCAAACACACATTCTGACAATGTAAAACACAGACATTAAGACATTTTGTATCTAAATGACAAAATCCCACAATTCCCTCTAATAATTTTAGAGACCTGAAACAAAAATTGATCTGTCAAATTCCTTTTTTGGCAGTCTGAGGCATACACAGATTATAAAACGAAGACTGATCCAGAGATGATACTCGTTTCCAAGCCACCCACCCTCGTCTCTGCAGCTCCGCCTTCTCCAGCTGACATCCATAGTAGTGAGGGTCAACCACAAGCAGGTAGCTCCCCTTGTCCCCAGTCCACACCCCGAATATCCCCTTAGAGGAGTTGTCCCTGTCTCCTCCCATCATGACTGGAGATCCATGCTTCTCAAAGTGCTGATGGAGCTCCTCCACTGCAACTTTCTCCAGCTCAACCCCTCCACCTCTCACATGCACCAGCTTACAGGGGACGTCATAGAAATAATCAAGAACCAGGGAGGCTTCAAATGTTCCGATCCACTCTTTGGAGCCTGAGAAGGAGCCTGGCTTGTCCCCCATTGTAACCAAGGCTTCCTGGATCTCTGGGAGGCTTGGTGCAGGCCTGTGTTGGTTCCAGTTAAGGCAAAGCCAGGATGCCATAGTTTGAATGGTGCGATAACCACATCCCCAACCTCTGTCATCACAGCCATCACAGCCATAATGAAAGTACTGATAGTCTCCTGTTATCTGGGAGCATTTCATATGACCTGAGGCTGGATTAGGAAGCCCGGTGTGTACGTTCTTTAAACAGGGTTGGATCTTGTGCACAATCTCCCTCTCTTCTGCTCCTCTTCCTCCCCAGTCAATTGTCCCCTCAGAGGCGTCGACCTTTTTATCCATTTTTACAACATGTTTCTACAAACCCCACAGTTCAACCTACTATGAATTCAAACACTTCCCAGCTGTTTTCAACACGGATAACTCACCCGACGGCCATCTGGTGTAACTTCAATAACAGTCCTGACGGTGCACTTGCAGTACACACTCAGTTCCGTTTTAGCATTAATCCCGGTGATGCCTTCAGGAGCTTTTTCAAACGCTTTAATTCGTGGAGATAAAATGAGATAAAGCTGCAGTTATAATGTGCGCACTTTGTTGTTGTTGTTTTAGTATAGAGTTAAGCCTACAGTGAATTTTTATTTGGCCAGTAAGGTTCTTTTAGTTGGAAATGACACAAACAGGTGATCAAAGATGGTAAAGATAATGTGTTAGAGATCTTGGGGGTGGTCATGTTTTTTTTCTCGACATTTTTATAAAAACAAAAAACTGCCCCAAATGATTTATCTCAGAAATCAATGGTAAAACAAAGCAAAATAAATAAATAAATCATAATAATTAAAAGTAAACCTGGAATCGTTAAAAATATATCATTAACATCCCTCACACAATGTCTTACTGTCGTCGGAAATTTGTTTATGTAATTTCCATCTAGAAGAAACATATTGGGCCAATACAAAAAATATATATTTAATCAAACTTTGGTATTTGATAAATCATTTTGAACTCGTGAAGTCACTGTAAATCAGAGATATTTCTGAACTACAACGTTTTTGTTAGTCTTTGAAGGCAACACAGCCGCTTCAAGCGCACGAGAGCCCAATAATAACACACCTGTGCTAATTAATTAGCCGCTAGCTTGTTTTGTTTTTTCTTCAATAATGGCCTCCCTGATAAAATATTGGGAAGTCGTCTCCCTTTCCATCCTATTTCTGTCCTTGTGTTGTGTTTCTTTTGCTAAAGACAATGACGTGGGAACTCGGGAAGGTCTTGAAATACAATGCGGAGAAGTCAAAATGAGAATAACCGTGAAGCGACAGTTTTTCCAAGAGAGAGGTGTTCCGTTCAAACCCGAGTATCTTCGACTTGGAGGAAACGTGACGCAGAAGGACTCCTGCGGACCGAAGGGACCGATGTCTGACGGTGAAATGGTCATCTCCGCTGGGCTGCAAGACTGTGGGACCGAGTCCAAAGTAAGAAAAGAAACTGGAGAAGAGCTTGGCCAATGTTTGACTTATGTTAAAAGAGTTTCAAACCAACTACCAGACATGAAACGCTTTGCTAGTACCGAAGCTCAAACTGGGCTAAATTTAAATTGAAGCTAAGGAAGCTTCATTGCATTCATGTGCCTAATTTATCCTGATGTTATATTGTATCTATACAGCACTAAAATAATTGTTGAGGTTACAAAAATTGAGCCTAAGATACATTTAAGTGCAAAATTATTCCTACCTGCACCAACATTTATTAATCGTGATATTTTGGTTTTTTTTGACCAGCAGGTTTCTTCTGGCTAATAATGACATAAACAAAAGACTATTAGTATTACAGATATTAAATTCTAGTTATTTTTGTTTTACCAAAAATGTCCTGTTCAATTATTCATATCCCTAAAAATGGTCTCAGATCAAAACAAACAAACAAAAACAGCTTCTATCCGATTCTACATGGTCCTGGTAATTTCTACCATTTTCTACACAACGTTCTAATACATGCATATAAGCTGCAGTAGTTCTCTCGTCAGTTACTAGTTAATTGCAGGTCATGACTAAAACCTAACACCTGGGTGAGCACCCTTGTAGGGTCCATCATTAAGCCAGAGTTTTGCATTGTGGCTCCTTACAAGACAATGAAGGGATATAAACTTATATCCAACTATGTTCACATACCAGTGACCACAGTGCAAAGCATCATCAAAAAGTACAAAGAATTCCACACTGTGAAGATCCTAAAGGGCACGTTAAGAGGCAGAAATGTCAGTGCAAGAAGATCAACACCAAGACTAGACCATCCTGATGAATCTGAGTGTCTCCAGACCCAACATCTCAAAGCAGACACTCCAGCAGACAGTACTCAAGGCTGGTCTACCAAGGAGCAAGGTCACCTGGACAAAGAAGAACGTTTTTGGTCATTAGTTCTGTGTTCAGGTAAGATGAGAATGAGTTATTTGGACACAGAAATACAGTTTTTGTTTGGCAAAACATCAGATCACCATCTATATGGTAAAACATGACGGTGGGAATGTGATGCTGTGGGAGTGTCTTTCAGCCAGTGGACCAGACGACCTTATCAAAGTAAATTGCATCATGAGAAAAGACGAGTATATTAAGACTCTGGAGGAAAATGTAACACAGCTTGCTTGTTAGCAAGTATAAGGACTGTTTGATTGCTGTTGTGACACACCTAGGCTTTGCCATTGATTATGGAGATGAGGTATAAATAATTTTGAGCACAAGGTTTTTTGTAAAAATGTCATAAAACACAGAAAATGTTAAAAATGTATCATTAATCTCTCTAATACAATGCCTTCCCATCTTTTGGTAGGACATTGTGGTCAAAAAACATTAACTAGAAATCATAATTTTGGTCATGGACATGAATAATTTTGGGCTTAACTCCATGTGCTGTAAGATATCCTGATCAAGATAGGCCTTTTTTCAGCAGATATTTCAGGAAGACCACCAGTACTGAAATTTCCGTCACTCTAAATATCAAGTACTGCAACATTACAGCAGGCCTGCCATGAAAAACACCTGCTACTGGATCTACTGAACTTCACAGTGATTTATTAAAACCCCATTAGATCATGCACCAAATCCCTTTAGATCAGCTACTTCAGGGTTTTTACAATCTCACAAAAATCCAGTTGAGTAGTAACTTATTCAGATGTGGTAACAAGGTGGGTAGGAAACTAAAGTCCAATTAAAAGAAAAGAAAATTGTAAAACTAGTTTCTTTTTTAGCCTCAAAACTGAAATATGATGGAGTGCAATTAAGCTAAGTATTTTGTGAGGTTAAATACATGTTTTAATTCATTCCTTTGTGATCACTCAATTCCAGGTTCATGGTGAGTGGCTTGTGTATTCCAACCAACTGCACCTGCTTCCTGTTGTGCTTCCTACTTCTACAGGCAGTATCATAGTTAAAGGGGCAACTACTGTCATACCTGTTGAGTGTCACTTTAAGAGGTAAGGCTGATGCCATAATATTGGAGCCGAGTCAAAGGGTTGTAATGGGCTGTAATCAATACTTAGTAACTGTACTGTACCTGGGCCTTATTTTTGTGTGCGTACAGAAAGCAGAAAGTCAATGCAGGACCGTTATCCCCAACCTGGGTACCGATGACATCCACAATCAGTGTTTTTGGCTTTCTGCGCTTCTCCCTACGCTTCATGACAGGTGAAACTACCATGTTGTTGAATGTAAACTGCATCAGTGGATGACTTCTCTGTGGTAATTTTGTTTCTCCATATTAAACTGAGATTGAAAAACATGTCCGTCTGTTTCTATTCAGATGGATGTACCTCTCGGCGTAGTCCCTTAGTGTACCAGCAGGGGGAAGCAGTGTTTTTGGAGGCCAGCGTGGAGGCCCCGCTGCACCCTCCCCTCACTATATATGTCGACTCTTGTGTGGCTACACTGAAGCCTGACCCTCTCTCCTTGCCAAGCTACAACTTTCTCACCAAGCATGGGTCAGTATTTCCTCCATTCCTCGGTGCAATACACAAAATATACATTACAACAACACCACAGTTCTTAATGTAAGGATTCAAATTTCAGATCAAATCTAACAAATGGCTCCTCACAGCTAAGTTTGGTTATGTTTCAACATTTATCTGACTAGTTTGGACACATTATTTCTAATTCTGATGCAGTTCATGAGGACTATTCATCATCAATACTCCTTCATTGCAGATGTCTTATGGACAGTGTACTGCCAGGCTCTTCATCTCAATTCCTCCCAAGGGAGCAAAATAACAGACTATGCTTCAGCATCCAAGCCTTCCGCTTTAACCAGAAGCCTGGGGAGCAGGTAAAAACACATAACTGAACAGGAGCTGGTTCAATACTTTCTGAATGTGTTTGTCAAGCATTTCACTTCTTGTTCAAATGTTACTGTTGCATGGAACCCTGGATCAAATGTGGTTTAATAATTTTGCTTTTCTAGATGTTCATCAGCTGCCATCTTAAGGCAACTCTGACGCAAAACCCACATAGCCACCTTGATAAAGCCTGCTTCTTCCACAGACCCTCATTTAGGTTGGGTTGCTTACTAATAAACCTCCAGTTTTAAATCGTCATTCAACATTTAAATGTGTATATTTTTAAGCTGGGGCTTCCCAGCTGAGATATATTATCAGGATGCTTCTCTGTCATTCAGCTGGCGAGCCACAGAAGGAGACAGTTCTCTGTGTGAATGCTGTGACTCTGCTGACTGCTTTGGAGTGACTGCAGAGAACAACAGTGGCCACAGTGGAACCACAACTCAACCAGAGACAGGTTACTCAGCCTTCTACAAACAAATGCAACCTACACAGTGTTTTAGGTTGTTTTCACCAGTTGTGCTGAATACAAATGACGATGACTAAATTATTATTATGTAAATGTTTTTGACAGAAAAGCTGGAAGTTTACAAGACAGTTGGGCCGCTTTACACCCTGAAACGCTCCCTTTGGAGTGGCCGTCTGATAGTCAATCACTGAAGAGCCCTTCTCCAGCTTTACAATTAGGTGGGTGCAAGGACTGTCACTGTTAAAATAATGCATCCATCACATAATATCTTTCTCATCACTCACAGAGACAAATGTATATTTGGAAGCCATAAGTAGCAAGTTGTATCACTGACTCTACTGATTTATTCTTGGAGGCATCTACAAAACTCAGTGAAAGTCTTGAAATATGGAACTTATTTTTTGATTACCTTCAACCCAAGAGGCTGTTTGCAGCTGTCATTTTCAATAGCTGTCAAAAACTCTCTGTACACCACTGCTGACAACAGACAGACAATGTTGGTAGAAGAGATGATGTTGTCAGACTATTCAGAATACCTACTTTAAATAAACCTATGCAAGGAGAAGCTTGTCCTCTCTGGCAAAAGACATATATACATATATATATATATATA